ATTCATAATGAAGGCTATAAAATATGTACAACTTAGAAACTAAATGCTATGTGTACTTATCTGTATTCATAACCCAATATCTGAGGTAGGTTGATGCGCTCTTTACTTTTTATATAATTCGTATTATTCTGTAATAAATTAAATCTAATCCAAAATATACTATAATATATTATATATAATATTTTATTTAATAGTAGCTTATATAGTAGTATAGTAAATTATATATAAAAAACATGTCTGTACGTATGTATGTCTGAGGTAAGGTTAAATATAAACAAATATTTTGCCAAGTGCGAATCGGACTTCCGAGATTCCGAGATTACAAGATTTAAATACCTATACATATTACTATCGATCTGTGCCGTGTAGTGGCGGTTAAGAATATCCACTACCCCATATCTTCCCGTGGGTGTCGTAAGAGGCGACAGAGGGAGACAGGCAGGAGATGGGCAGCAGCGTCTTCCTGATGACAACTGTGACGTAATAAAAAACTGCGGTTGCCAACTCGCTCGCCAAGCGTGGCAACTATGGCAAATACCCCCCAATGAATAAATACACAAACAGACGGCCCCCAGTCCCCGGCGGCCCCGCTGTTCCTGGCTACGGTGGCGACCATGGTAACGGCGGGGCAGGGGATGCTAAGAATCTCCGGTGGAGGTTCGGTTGCCACCTACGACGACTCGACCTGGCAACATATAACGCACGCACCCTGAGGACTGACGAGAAGATACTGGAGCTGGAAGAAGAGGTAGACAAGTTGCGCTGGCATATTATTGGATTATCCGAGGTCCGAAGAGAGGGGGAGGACACGGCAATCCTCGAGTCCGGCAACTTGTTCTATCACCGGGAGGGCGACCATCTGTCCCAAGGAGGTGTCGGATTTATCGTCCACAAATCTCTCGTCAACAACGTTGTAAAGATTGGGAGTGTGTCGACGAGGGTCGCGTACCTGATACTCAGAATCACCAAACGGTATTCGCTGAAGGTCATTCAGGTTTACGCACCAACCTCGGCACATCCCGATGAGGAGGTGGAGGAAATGTATGAGGATATTTCCAGAGCCATACATTCCTCCAAAACCTACTACACGGTCTTGATGGGAGACTTCAACGCAAAACTGGGCACAAGAGAAAGCGGTGAGCTGAAGGTAGGGAAATTTGGAGTAGGGCAACGGAACCGAAGGGGCCAGCAGCTGGCCGACTTTATGGAGAAAGAGGGACTCTTTATGATGAACTCTTTCTTCCAGAAGCGGCCCCACAGGAAGTGGACCTGGTCGAGCCCCGACGGTTCGACAAAAAATGAGATTGACTTCATTATGACGACCAGACGCCAACTGTTCAGTGATGTCTCAGTGATCGCAAGGGTGAAAACTGGCAGCGATCACCGAATGGTTAGAGGCACACTGAACCTAAACGTTAAGTTAGAGAGGTCTCGTCTAATGAAGTCAACGCTCCGTCCCCCCTCGTGCTCTAATCCAGAATCCCGAAACCTTTCAGCTCGAGTTACGTAACCGCTTCCAGTGCCTAGAAGATTGCAATGCAGTGGACGATATGAACGACAAGCTCGTGGAAACTGTCCATGCGGTCGGAGCTAAGTTCTGTAAGACCCGCCGCAGAAGAACACAAAAACTCTCCGATCACACTCTTAATCTCATGGCTGTTAGACGGGAGATGAGGCTGCAATCGTCAACAGATTTGACAGCATACAGGCAACTGAACAGACAGATCTCCAAATGCATACGGCGAGACTTACGCAACTTTAATACTTCTCGTATTAAAGAAGCGATCGAGCGGAACCAGGGCTCCAGTCTTTGCCAGAGATCTGTCTGCCAGAAAGAGCCAACTGTCAAGGCTGAAGACTGAGTGTGGCAACATCGTTTCCGGGACACCTGAGATTTTGAGTGAGATTGAGAGGTTCTATGGGCAGCTGTACACATCATCGTTGGAGCCACACGCAAGTGTGAGTAACGATCCAAGAGCAAGTCTTATCCGACACTATTCCGATGATATCCCGGACGTCAGTCTAAGCGAGATTAGAATGGCTCTCCAGCACCTTAAAAACGGCAGGGCCCCAGGCGAGGATGGAATTACAGCGGAGCTTCTGAAAGCGGGTGGAACACCGGTACTTGAAGTCCTTCAGAAGCTCTTCAATTCCGTCCTCCATGGTGGCACTACTCCAGAGGCGTGGAGCAGAAGTGCGGTGGTCTTGTTCTTTAAGAAAGGCGACAACGCTCTCTTAAAGAACTACAGACCGATTTCCCTTCTGAGCCGCGTCTACGTGCTGTTTTCGAGAGTCATTACGAATCGTCTCGCACGCAGACTTGACGACTTCCAGCCTCCCGAACAAGCCGGTTTCCGAAAAGGCTTCAGTACCATAGACCACATACATACCCTGCGGCAGATTGTACAGAAGACTGAAGAGTACAATCTGCCACTTTGCCTGGCGTATGTGGACTATGAGAAAGCCTTTGATTCCGTCGAAATTTGGGCGGTGCTACAGTCCCTTCAGCGGTGCCAAGTTGACTGTCGGTATATCGAAGTGCTGAAGTGTTTGTACAGTAGGGCTACGATGGCTATCCGAGTACAGAACCAGAGCTCGAAACCTATCCAACTGCAGAGAGGTGTAAGACAGGGTGACGTTATATCCCCGAAACTCTTCACCGCTGCATTGGAAGACGTTTTCAAGCTACTGGACTGGAAAGGATACGGTATTGACATCAATGGCGAGTACATCACTCACCTTCGATTTGCCGACGATATAGTCCTTATGGCAGAATCGCTGGAGGACTTAAGCACTATGCTCAATGACCTCAATAGTGCCTCCCAACGGATAGGTCTTAAGATGAACATGGACAAAACAAAGATCATGTTCAATGTCCATGTCACACCTATGCCGGTAGTTGTTGGGAGCACTATGCTCGAAGTTGTTGACGAATACGTTTACCTGGGACAAATAGTCCGACTAGGTAAGTCCAACTTCGACCGAGAGGTCAATCGACGGATTCAACTCGGCTGGGCAGCGTTCGGGAAATTACGGCATATATTTTCGTCAGGTATACCTCAATCTCTAAAAACTAGATTGTACAACCAGTGCGTGTTGCCAGTGATGACTTACGGATCTGAGACGTGGTCCTTCACTGCTGGCCGTATGAGGACGCTTAAGGTCGCTCAGCGAGCTATGGAGAGGGCTATGCTCGGAGTTTCTCTGCGTGATAGACTCAGAAATGAGGATATCCGCAGTAAAACCAGAGTGACCGACATAGCCCAACGGATTAGTAAGCTGAAGTGGCAATGGGCCGGCCATATAGCTCGAAGAACCGATAACCGATGGGGAAGAAAGGTTCTCGAGTGGCAGCCTCGTACCGGTAGGCGTAGTGTAGGGCGACCCCCACTAGATGGAGTGACGACCTGGTAAGACATGCAGGAAGTCGATGGATGCAGGTGGCTCAGGACCGTGCTTTGTGGCATTACTTGGGGGGAGGCCTATGTTCAGCAGTGGACTTGTGAAGGGTTGTAATGATGATGATGATGATGATTACTATCGATTAAAAAAAAGCCAAAAATACACGTTTCTTTTTCTAGTGGAAAATTCTTTAATTTCAAATGTATTTTTACCACTTGCTGTTATAGCGGCAACAGAAATACACGTTCTGTGAAAATTACAACCATCTACCTATTACGGATCACGAGATGCAGCCCGCTGACAGACAGACACACGGACAGCGGAGGCTCCGTAATAGGGCCCTGCTGGTTACCCTTCGGGTACGGAATCCTAAAAAGTACTAAGTTGTCCACTCACATCTGTATGATTCTTTCTTCAAAGGACCATAATATTAGCCTGGTTCTCGTATGACATAACCAATGTATTACCTGGACTGACCTCTCTGAGTTTGTTTCGGTAGATCGGGTGCTTCTTCTCAGTTTCATGTTTTTGTTGTGTTAAAGTGTTTTTTAAAAAAAAAAAACAACTTACAAAACACATTTTATTTATCATTGACTGCCCTTCTTAGATTATTATGTACTTACATAAATTACATTAGGTATATTAGGATATGAGATTCCTATACGTAAGCACGATTATCGAAAATCTAAAAATCACCTATTCTAATTAAATTAATAGATAATTTTAAGATTTTCGATAATCGTGCTTATCTATGAGATGTTTTCGTTAGTTAGCAAATTAAAGTAGTTAAGTACCTAATGTACTACCTGTATCGAAAGTTCATTATTATGTACCTACCTGTTTTCAATTTTAACCTTCAACAAACTTATGGGCACATTTTAGCAACTATATTCATCCCGGCTTCAGCAATGGACACGAACAAAAGGAATTTTTCTAAATAAAGATAAACAACTATAAATAGATAGCAGCGGCTAACCTAGTGAATATATGTGAGTGCGTGCTGCCCCCCCCCCTCCGTCCGTCCCACTGATCGGGGAAACAATTTGTAGCGAAAGGCAAGATGTTTTATAACAAAAACGGGCGCGCGAAATTTTATAAACAGACCTTTGGTAGTCTGGATGTCACGAAAAATCTATTGAATGTATCTGTTTAAAATAAAATTATTTGCATTTTTGAACAACTAATCTATCCCTGTATGGTAACTGTTTTGCAATTTTCGTTCTTCTTATGGTATTTATTTCCGACCAAAGATGTGTTAAAACTAGTGTTGAAATTCGGAATTTTCGACGCTTATAACTTTTAAACATACTCTTTTTTTAATTTTTTGTTTCCATACAGGGCTAGATAATGATGAGACAAATTGAAATCATTTTTTATTTTGAACGTGGTGTACGTTCAAATCAAACAGTGGAGTAATCGCCGGACTACGTTTGTATGGAATAATAAGCGACTAGTGTACTCTTAAATGCTGTGTGTGACAAATAAATTATTCTGATTCTGAAGGCCTAATGGCCAAAAAAATACAAGGCCGGTATGCGAATTGTACGGTTCAGTGCCAATGTTCAGCAGTGGGACCGCAGTGGTGGAAATCCACTCACCTTGTCCACTTGCACGTTGGTGAGCGACATCATGTCGTACTCGTTCTCTTGCGCGAACGCGGCCAACTTGTTCACGTCCGCTGACACGATGTTCAGTGCGTGCCGTATAGTGGGTACGGGCCCGTGGTCGTCCTGGAACGGATACGAAAGAGATATAATGGACTCATCAAAATCAAAACATTTTACAGCTTCGCACGGGTGATTTTTCGGATCTAGACTATAGCGCCACCTACCGGCTCCATTTGTCTATAACCAATAATCGCATCGTTCAAACGCTTGCTTTGGAATCATTTTCTGGCGTTGCACGAGTAGTTTGTCGATTAACATTTTTTATATCCTTAAATTCTAACTGTTCCCTTTTCCTGTTTTTATTTCAAATATTTTATAGATGTTTGAATCAGAAACAGCTAGGTATATTTAATTATGTATGTATCTACTATATATGCATATATACACTATATAGTGTTATATTCAACGATTTGTTCGTCGCGTAATGTAAACTTTTTAAAGTTACAGCCTATATAAATCCCACTACTGGACACGCCTCGCCTTATTTCTGAGAGGGTTTTAGGGCAAGGAAGTGTCCGCCGCGCTGCCCTAATGCGTGATGGCGAACTTCACATGTCTTCGAAATATTTTTTTCTTGTTCCTCAGATATGCAGGTTTCCTCACGATATTTTCCTTTATGGCAGAGCACGTGGTAAATCAGCACTTAATATCGCAATTAACAATTTCACTGGTGCCGGCGGGGATCGAATCCGGGTTACACGCGTTCTGTTATATTTACAACGAGCGTTAACCATCTGAGCTACCAGGGCTCTATGTAACCGTTTTATTATAAATCAATTGTATATCTGCGCGAGCAGGAGCTACTAGCGAGTAGGGATGGTAGTGGTGTAGGCGCTGGCGGCGGTGCTGACCTGCTGGTAGACCTTGTCGGTGGCGGCCTCCCAGACGGCGGCCAGCGTGTCGGCGGGCAGCGCTGCGCCCTCGCCGCGCTCGCCCGCAGTAGCAGCACACGCGGCCGCGGCTCGAGCCGCCAGCGCCACCGCCTTGCTGCAACGCCACAGCGTCGTGGCGCAGTCGCTGCGTAGCCGTTCCACCAGCTGAGGACAATTTCCATGTTATAGTGGTGAACTTCGTACGTTCCATATAGAATAATAATAATAATAATAATAATACAATTGAAATGAGCTAATGAGCACTGTAAATTTTGTGCATATGTGTTTATCAATAACAATTATTATTATTATTGAATATGTCACTTATTATGTATTTATTATATTCTTAGTTGTAAGTACTAATTTTCTACTATAAGTACAAATAACCACCTAGTTAACCGACACAATGTTAGTGAACAAACTACACATGGTAGAAAGAAAGAAAGAAAGAAAGAAAGAAAAACTTTATTTGAAATCCCAAATTAAAAAAAAACTCGAAATATTACAATAAAAAATAAAATGTATTTTTGTGAAGTCAAATTAGGTCCCTATTTCAGGTAACTGCTGCTGTACCAAATGACAGCGGTGCTGATTTTCAAATAGAGCCCAATATTCACTTCACGGACGGTCATACATTACTTAAAGCTAAAAATAAAAAAAAGAAACAATCATTCTATGAAGTGAGTAGGGAAGGATTCAGTATAAAATAGGTATTATTTGGAACTAATAACACAATGTATAAGTGTACTGTGTGGCCGTGAGGAAGGAAAAGGGGAGATCTCCCGCCGGGCAAGGTGTTGTGCCCGGGGAGCGGCCAACGCTCCGTGTGATAGTTCGGAGATGTTCTATATATACTGTTTATGATTCGGAATTTTGATAGCGTGATTTAGGCTTCGGTGTGTTTCGCTTGCGGCGCCGCCACAACCGTACACCTGCATATCACATATATATTTTACACCAATACATACGTAGAGGCATGCTACAGCTATATAGTGGTTACAACATGAACGGGTTGACTCGCCAGAGAAGAACCACGCTCTCACCGAATACCAGCGCAGGTTAACGTTGCTGTTTTTCGTATGGTGAGTGTGGAGAACTGTAAAATATTCGTAATTGTGGAAAGATGTAGACGTCCATGGGCCAAAGCATCCACTAACCATCAGGTGGACTGTGTACTTGTTTTTAATCTTCATTCTATAAAAAAAACTGCCACAGTAGGCGGACTGCCACACTAATTCCAATTCAGCTAATATTGTTAGCTCCCTCAGTTTGGTGGACTTCGATTTGGTGGCTTCTGACTTTGAGGGAGGTTTCATGTCACCACCAGCGCTGGAGCTTCCACCAATGATGTTCACATATTAAAGCTTACTATATTGTTACAGTTACCATTACAAAACTCAGGAGTGTAAGCGCTCGCTGTAAAATTCACAGTGTACGGTCTTTACATATCGCACATTTGTGCACATCAACATTTTTACCTTATTGTCTCATTTTTAATTCTCACTAATTCAGTACGCAATCATTCGCCGTCGCACATTGTATTCACTATCAATAATATCGGAATAAATTACATAATCAGTTCAAGCCCTTACCATTTCTATCAACTTCTAAGATTGTACAGTGTGCTGCACAATCTTAGAAGTTGCTCGTACACTCAATACGCGAGCAACCCGGGTTCTATTCCCCGCCAACACCAATGAAATTATTAATTGCTATTTTAAGTTACTAAAATATCATTTACGGACTTTATCGCGTTTAATTTAGTAAATTTTTAATTCCTGACGTTTCGGGTACTTTCCAGCATTCATGGTTATTCGGAAAAACCTCTGTCCTGGGAAGAACCAGCAAGAAACGAAACTTTTTATAACATATTTCACTTTACAACAATTTTACATACATACATACATACATAAACACTCACGCCTGTCACCCAGAGGGGTAGGCAGAGACTACAGACTTCCATTTGGCACGATCCTGACACACCTCTCTTGCCTCCTTCACATCCATACACCTACGCAGACATGCTCGTCGGTTAAGGGTACTCCTTCTATTTTCTTTGATTGATTTTCTTTGTCACTCTTTCCTCATTCATTCTTTCCACATGGCCAAACCACCCAAGCATTCCTTTCCTAATCCTGATCAGTCACATCATCTTGCAAACTACATTCTTGTCTAACTACACAATTTCTCACCCTGTCATCCAAATTCAGTCCTAACATACTCTTTAACTCACCGCATTTCTACTGCGTTTATTCTACTCTCGTGCTTCTTCTGCCACACCCAACTTTCACTACCATACATTAAAGCAGGGACCAACACAGCATTGTAAATTGCCACACGTGCCTTTTTCGACACATTTTGACTCTTCACAATAGAGTGCAAGGCCCCATTTATTCTATTTCCCGCATTCACTCGTCGTTCTATATCCTTATCATATCTCCCATCCCTGCTAAATACGCAGCCCAAATATACAAACTCATCTACTTGCTCGATCAACTCCCCTTCTATTCTTATTTCACAAATCGTTTTACTTTCTTCTCTTTCAAAAACCATAACCTTCGTCTTACTTGCGTTCACTTTCATTCTTTTAATGATCCGTTCATTAATGTAACCATCATTTGCAACTCGGCCGCCGACGACACAAGATTAACTTGATCATCGGCGTACTAAAGGCATTTGACGGTTAACTCACCCATTCTTAATCCGCATTCTTCAACTTTCAAATTTTGCAAACAACTGTCCATAAATAGGTTGAACAGCCACGGGGAAGCCACACAGCCCTGTATGACACCTTTATGGATGTCAAACCAGTCCGAGTAGACCCTGTTGATCCTAACACAAGCACTAGAGTCCCTATAAAGAGACTCCAATGCCTGTATCAAGCCAGCGCTCAACCCAAATGAGTTCAGCGTTTGCCATAGCAAATCCCTATCCACTCTGTCATAGGGCTTTTCCAAGTCCATGAACGCACAAAAAACATTTTGGTTTATGGCCAGAAACTTCTCTGCGACCATGCGCATGGAAAAGACTTGATCTGTACATCCCATTCCCTTTCTAAATCCCGCTTGCACATCCCAAATTTTTCCATCAGTTTCTTTCATGACCCTTTCAATCAGTACCTTAGCATACAGTTTTCCCACAATGCTACGAAGGCTGATGCCATGGTAGTTTTTACAGTCCTGCTGCGACCCTTTTCCTTTATATACTGGGACTATCACGGCTTTGCACCAGTCTACCGGTAACCGTTTCAGTTCCCAGCATAAATTAAACAAGGTGTGCAGCAGGCCTGCCACGACTTCCTCTCCAGCCCTTAGCATTTCGAGTGAAATTCTATCGTATCCGGCAGCCTTACCTGCTTTCATGCTTTTCATTGCTTTCATCATTTCATCTATACTTATCTCGCTACCTCTTTCCTCTTTTTCGGTGTTTCTACTTCACTTAGTACACATGTTGTCTCCTCACTCATAAACACGCTTTCAAAATATTCCTTCCATCTCTTTAAACTCAAAACTTCATCATTCAGAATATAGCCATTCTCGTCTCTTATAGCATTCATCATAGGCTGTTTTGAATGTCCCCTGGCAGTTCTTACGAGTTTCCAGAACATTTTAATATTTGCCTGGAAGTTATCCGATATTCTTCTATCATTCTTATCCGTTCTTTCTTGCTTTTTTCTTTCAACTACTTGTTTTACTCTCTTATTAAGATGTCTAAAGACTGACTTTTTTTTTCAATATCACCATTCGTACCGCTAGGATTACCAGCCTTTGTTGCTAGTAAATCTAGCCATGCTCCCTTCTTTGCTTCAATTTCCATACGTATCTCATCATCCCACCATAACGTATTATTTTTCCTTTCATTCTTTCTCTTACTAACACCACATACTTCGGTAGCTGCATCCTAGTGGATTGCCTTTCTTTACATTTTTCCATATATGCTCCAAGTCTAACTCCTTCATACATAATTCATCCAAACCACTTATATTTTCTTTCAGTCTACATTTGAACTTGTTTTTTTCACCTTCATCTTGTAACCTTTCTGTTCTAATACGCTGTAACGCAGTGGTAGACACAGACGATCGATGGCGCCAACGCCTGAATAGACCATTAATTCGGCATAAAACCAAATAATGATCCGTTCCTACGTTAGAACCCCGGTAAACCCTTGTATCTACCACTGCGCCCCTCAATCTTTCATACACAATTATGAAATCTATCATGCTTCTATCGTTACCTCTTTCCCAAGTATACATGTGAATCCTCTTGTGGCGAAAGCAAGTGTTGGTCACAAAAATATTCTTTTCCATACATACGGTGAGGAGACTTTCACCATTCTCATTTATACTTTCATCACCAAATGTTCCCAATATCCTTTCATAACCAAGCCTCCTCATGCCAACCCTTCCATTAAAATCTCCTAGCATAATAATATTTTCATTTCCCTTACACTTATTAACACCATCCTTACCATTTCCCAAAACTGCTCTCGGATATATTGGGCTTAGACATGTCTGGGGCGTAGACCCCTAGCACAAACAACTTCTTTAAGCCCACTTTCATTCGTATCCATAGCAGTCTTGGGCTTACACATTCATACTCTTTCACACATTGGCGCATTCTTTCTGAAAGGATGATACCTACTCCCTGGCATGCCCGCTCGATCTCGTCCACACCAGACCAGTATGCGGTATACATGCCATGTGCAGTGACATCCTTCCCCTTCCTTTTCGTCTCATTTACACATAATACATCTATTCCTCTATCATACATCATATCGCATACTTCATCCATTTTATCATTCATTGCTCCACATACATTCAACGTAGCCAGACGGGCCTCTGCAATCCACTTTTCGCCTCTCCGGGAGACAGAACGTGACGGGTAGCGAACCTCGTCGCCGGTTTTCCTCCGGGAGATTCTTCGCACCCCTGCCCCATTAAAGGGGCGCCGGGAACTCGGAGCCATTTCTTTAATTCGATTCCTTATGGTGTGAAATGGGGTGGTATATTTAACGCCGCTATCACGGCGTGGAGCCGAGTCTGTGCTATCGGCTTGTCGCTCATTTAGCACCACCCGGGGGACACCTGTAGGGTGGGCCTAGGAACAGGTGGTCAAAGCCTACGGACGCGAGCGACTTATCCACAACAATTTTGTTTGTATAATTTTTAAATAAATTTTTATGGAAGTAGCATGGTGGCGATCACCTCATTCCCAGGGGTTATTTTCATTTATGTATTCATTTATATTATAATAACCCTTTTTGTACAAATTGTACTAAATGACAAATTTTGTACATTGCCTGGAATTTGTTGTAAAAGCGTATACATTGCCCCATAAGTGAATTACTAATTCTGTGTAGTCTAGTAACTGGTATTACAAACTTATGTTTTTTCCTAGTGTTTAAAGTTGAAACATCTTTATTCTAAATTCTTAGGCTTCAGCTGAAGGTTATGGCGATAGCCGACTAATCGGCTGCGACTTTGGCTTCGGTCAGATATCGGACCTTCGGTCGAACACTATTAATGTTTCAAAATACACCTCAGCATACAACTTAATAAAAAAATATTTCAAATTAATTCAAAATGTAAGTTTGTACCTAAAAAAAATAATATTTTAAGGAGTAAAAACATTTTTCAGCTAATATTTCTGACAACTTATTCCCATCCCAACCTTATGCAATTATTCATCCTATAAATTGTCAGGAAAATAATTATATATTTTTGGTGCCACAACGCATAAAACCTTTTTGAGAAAAAGGCTGTCTAGAGATCTAGGTTAGATACGTCATACGGTACACTACTAATGTAATTTAAATAATAACTCAAATGTACTAGGTGCTCTTCGATACCGACTCCACATCGTACGCCGATTTCCTCCTTTGGTCGTCGCGTGATTCGCATGGAATACAGTTGTTTACCTAAAGCTGTCTTTTACTCGGTGATGGCAGAAGGTAAAAGGAAGCAGCGGTGTTCAGCATCAGCGCTTTAAGGATGTTTTCAAAAGACAACTGAACGCTTGCAATATAAACCCTGAGTGTTGTTAGGACCATCGGTGCACATGTAGAAGTAATTTATTAATGGTGGTCTCAACTACTCAATTTAATTTGTTTACCTCGTCTCATGTTATCGTGAAAGAACGAAAGGTTCGAACAGCTTTATACGTGGTAGAGCCATGCTGCAGTTATATTAGTAGTATAGTTGTAGCACGAATGGGTCGGCTCGACCGGGGAGGGACCACGCTCTCACAGAATACCAGCGTCAAATAGTAGCTTTACGCTGCTCTGTTTCGTATGGTGAGTGTAGAGAACTGGATATCCTTTTTACTGGAAACAAGGCATTCCATCTTAGTCCTCACGGGTGACAATGCATCCATTTTGATTTGTAATCGAGGATAGATGTAGACGTCTAGGGGCCGCAGCAACCCCTTACCATCAGGTGGAATGTGTGCTCGTTCGTTACCTTATCCTATAAAAAAAGATGCTGCAACATCCAAAGTGTTGGTTGGTATCGAAATTCCCACTTTGAATGCGACGTGGTGACACTATATATAAAGTTACAAATCTCTATAATCACTACGCATCGCAAATATGATTATGTCGAATCCAGCTCACTTGCAAGTCCAAAGGCAATTTATCCAGATGAACGCCAGGGGGCAGACGACGACGGACGCTCTTCAGCTGCTGCTGCAGAGCTGTACTGCTGTTCATGATCAGCTCGTGAAGCTGTCCCAACACGTGCTGCTTATCCGACGCCTGAAATAGTATTATTAATTAACAAAAACTATAAACTTTTATTGAAAACTGAACTGAACTAGGTTTCAAAACGTAAAAAAGATAGAATTATATACTGGATGAATTTTTTACCGTCTGGAAATAAAGTGTGTAACGGGTGGACGGAGTAGAAGTTTACGGCATTGATATTTTACATTTTTTTTTAATTCGTTAACATATTGAATAAAACTAAATTTACGGATTTTATCGCGTTTATTTCACTACTTTTACTTATTTTTAATTCCCGACGTTTCGGGTGCTTTACAGCACCCATGGTCACGGGGGGACTGAGATGTTTGACGTCCCTATGTCATAGTTAGTCCGGCTATCTTCAGTTTTTGAATATTAATTTTTGGTCCGATTTACGCAGAGCAACTTATCGAGTCTGTGTCTGGTTTGGGTTTAATTTTGTTAATTACAGGATCCCAAGCAGGTGGCAGCACCCATCCATCTTCTCTATTGAAATTTGGATGTTTTTTTTTAATTTCAATAGCCTCGCGTATCATCCTTGGTAGGAAACGGTGTTCTTTTGCGAGGATTTGTGGTTTATCAAATCGAATGTAATGGTGGGGTGGGGACGATCTTGAACATGTTCGCAGACTGCAGACTTCCCGAAAATGTTCAAGATCATGCTGTTCATCATGCATGATCCTGTTTAAGCATGCATGCAATTAGCCCTGCTTTTCTTTTCTTTTGTGGCTATTATTGTTTGATTCACTTATTAAATTTATGTATGTTGTATATTTAAATTGGAATCCATTTTTGTTGCTCGTATTTGTGCTATGTCCTTTAAAAGACGAAAGATTATGTTATTGTTTTGTATTTCGTTATTAGTTTGAGAGCCGTTGCTTTTCCATAACATAAAAATAAAAAATAAAATAAAAATTGAGATCAATTGCATGAAGTAAACTTTCCATACGAAAAAGATAAAAACAAAATTTTTTAACGAAATAAATAAATCAATGGAAAACTATCTAAATTCAAATCGTACGCACGCTACTTTACTAGCGGCAATATAACAATGAATTTGTAACACACCCACCGCACTCACTGTCGGCTACTTTGTCCTTGTCCTTTCGCAGGGTCGCCGGCGCAAGGGCAACAGTCACACTGTCAGTTGTGAATAGCTACGGCGTGACGTCGTATAAATTGCTTGTTTCCGCGTGTGTAACAGTCACCCGCTGATAGTTATCGTAAGCATGTTTCACCAATACTATTATGTCGATTAAATAGCTACCTATCCGTAGAATACTATGATACATACATAATAGAACGGGGGAGTCGGCGGAGCCCATGTAGCCACTAAAATGTCAAATCAGCACGAGATGTGTTTTGACGTTACAATCGGTTCCAAATTTCGTATGCAAATTATTTAGAAAATGCTAAATTGCACTCTATTTACAAATAAATATGTATTAAAATTTAAACGATTCTTTTAATGATGATCTTGAACGTTAATTAAAAGTCTAAAATGTTTAAATTTACTCAGTCTGTCAACACAGCGAATCGAGTTTGTAGTAGTGATAACACGACGTAATTACTTGTATGTGTGCTCCCGGCGACGTTGACCCTCGTACAAAATAAGGCTGACAGCCATTGTATTGTGTATTATAAGATTCTATATACCTAGCAATAGTGAGATTTTGTCTTGTCTAGTGAAGACTTAGACGGTGCGATGAGTCGATATTTACCTGTGGTGGAAATTACAACGTCCACAATGAGCACTGGTGGAGTTTCCAAAACCCACACAAAGTCAAAGAACATGCTCATCAAGTTCGTTTTAGTACCAACGTCTGGGCGGCAATCATTAAAGACCATATCATTAGTCCAATATGGATTGAAGGTAGACTGACGCATAGCCTACCTGCAGCACGTGCGAGAGCGCGCGAGCGTCAGCGTGCAGAGCGCGCGCGAGCGCATCGAGTGCAGCACAAGCGCGCAGCACGGGCTCGCGCGCTGCACCACCCGCGCTCATGCCCAGCGCGGACCACATCGCCGCCAAATACGACCAGCACCGCTCCACTCCTGCACACACACACACAACACAGTAAGTACTAAGCTAACCTAGCGCCATATTGTGACGTCATAGCCGTTCATTCAAACCAGTTAAGAGGTAGGATGAGCAAGACAGACATTTTTGAAAAAATATTTATTGAAATAATACTAGTTTTTACGGATTTTATCGCGTATATTTAACTATAAATACCCGACGTTTCGAGCGCTTTACAGCACCCATGGTCACGGGGATGACTGAGATGTTCAACGTCCAAATGTCATAGTTAACAGCGTTTAACATAGATAAAAATTTAACTTTTGTTCTGATCTACACAGTATGAACTTATGGTATCTTGAAGTCTTGAAGTTGTATGCTTGGTTTGGGATTTCATTTTATTTATTATAGGATCCCAAGCAGATGGTAGCACCCAGCCATCTTCTCTATTGAAATTAGGATTTTTTTTTTGATTTCAATAGCCTCGCGAATCATCCTTGGAAGGAATCGGTGTTCTTTAACGAGGATTTGTGGTCTATCAATTCTGATGTAGTGACGGGGGCGATCCTGTACATGTTCACAGACTGCAGACTTCCCGGAGCGTCGATTCTTCACATCAGCTATACGTTCTTTAAAGCGGGTTTTAAATGATCTTTTAGTTTGGCCTATGTAGGAGAGACCACACTCACAATCAAACTTGTACAATGTCCTCCTGCATCTTGCAGAGGGACGTCTCATAATTTTTTTTATCTATGGTAACCGCTGTTAACTATGACATTTGGACGTTGAACATCTCAGTCCTCCCCGTGACCATGGATGCTGTAAGGCGCTCGAAACGTCGGGTATTTATAGTTAAATATACGCGATAAAATCCGTAAAAACTAGTATTGTTTCAATGTGTAGTGTTCGCGCAAATATAAGAAATCATTAAAATATTTATTTACAACCTATGATAAATTAAAAAAAATTGTACAACCGACTTTATACGTGGTAGAGCCATGCTGCAGTTATATTAGTAGTATAGTTGTAGTACGAATGGGTCGGCTCAACCGGGGAGGGACCACGCTCTCACAGAATACCAGCGTCAAATAGCAGCTTAATGCTATTGTATTTGGTATGGTGAGTGTAGAGAACCGGATACCCTTTTTACATTCCATCTCGGTCCTCACGCATGACAACGCATCTGCGTTTTGATTTGTAATCAAGGATAGATGTAGATGTCTATGGGCCGCAGCAACCACCTACCATCAGGTGGACTGTGTGCTCATTTGTCACACATCCTATTAAAAATATATAGATGAAATGAGAATATCATCAATGAAGTCGGAGTCAATTAAGTACGCATTATGAAGTGTAACTGAAAAACTACCAGTCAGTTCTTAATCAAATTTATATGGGACCACACGGGAAGCACCAACTTTCACATAAAAAACGGATTATCAAATGGGTCCACCTAGAAGAAAGTTTTGATGTAACACAAATAAAAAATACAGTCGTATTGAGAAACTCCTCCTTTTTTGAAGTCGGTAGAACGGAACCATAAACGTTCTTATAATAAACGGGCTATGAGAACTTAATACGTTATGCATTAAATTAAAATCAATTCTCTATGACTTACTTTATTTTGTACACCGTTGTTTTGACAATCTAACACTAGTTATGTTTATTATGTCTCAGAAAACGTCGTCCTTATGTGCGCACCTTATCAACGTGTTTACAAGTTTATTTCATATAAGTATGTGCTACCCGTGCTGTTAAAGAATGGGATTAAAAATAGCGTCGCGTCTATTCACCTCTCGCTCCCACACTGTCGCTACCTATACTCTCGTTCGCCGATACAAAATTGCAAACAAACTACGTTGTGAAATGCATTTTTCGTACATTCTATACTATTATAACATCAGTCCCACTTGTTATTAGAGTCAACATTAACATTTAACAATATTTTTTTGTAGTTTATGGCATTTTCTTAAAAAAAGCCATAAACTACAAAAAAATAATTCAGTCCGGTTTCGCTAAATTGTGAGTTACATCGTAAAATATTAAAGAGCAAACCACTGAGGCATTTTTTTGTTTATTAATATACCTCACCGGCACGGAAACTTGGCCACTCATGAATTTGCTGATTATTTGCACTGAAACGTTTTTTTAATAGGTAAAACATGTTAAACTCGCGTCAGGACACGTGACCTGATCGAAAATTCGTAAGACGGACGGCGTAGGAGAGGAAGTATCCCCCTCTCTTTCTATAAATGTATGCCTGTGCCTGCTGTTTCGTTTCGGCGGCGCAGGGCGCTTGCGCGAATGTTCATGTGTGATAAAGCAATTCGTGCAAAATTATTCCCTAACCATTGCAAAATATCAAAAATGCACAACGTTAATATTCAAGTTTTCACTTCTGCCGGCACTCCCGGAGTGCAACCCGTCGTTTTTATTTAAAACTAACTTCTCAATTAAATAGCATTGTGTAACAAAAATCTTCACCTGTGTCAACTGGCGACATCTAATGAGCGGTAGATTATTAGCCCTTATTGGCTCCTACTATGGAATCAAATTTAAAGACGTAGTATATTCACGGCGAAAACGTGGTAAAATATCGATATAAATGACAAGATATGGTCGTGAGAACAAAAATTTTTCACGGTTTAAGCATAAAATATATCAGCGCCATCTCTTAAATACTCATGAACTACCACGGAACTAGTGTTTCCAATTATGATTTTGGTTTTACCTTAGAACCTGTAGGAATACTCCCTAAACTATCGTCAAAATAATCAAAATAACCTTATTTATTGCACCTAATTTTCAATGTTTTAAAGAACAAATTATTATAAGATTTGAATATCATTTCACGATTAAAAATCTTGAGTTTTGTGGTTAAGAAGACGTTCTCATTTTCAAATTATAATAACAATTAGTCCAATATGAATAAATAATATGTAAATAAGTAAAATATTACACCATTGTTGTTAAATACAAAATGAAAAACTTTTTCATTCTACACTTCTCTGGCTCTTTTGATCCTATCCCCTTCGATAAATCTTTAAAAAAATACATTATGTGGGTATAGAAAACAGGGTTACCAGAAGTTCGATTTTACCACAAAATATCCAAAACCCTGTCAACTTGAAGAATCGCCTAAAGCGCTACCTATATTAGTAGTTTTACCCCAAGTGCAAAATATCTAAATATTTAAACGTGGTAGAGAGATGTTCTATACATATTCTATATAGCTGACGTGAAGCACCGACGCTCCGGGAAGTCTGCAGTCTGCGAACATGTTCAAGATCGTCCCCACCATTACATTCGTTTTGACAAACCACAATTCTCGCCAAAGAACACCGATTCCTACCAAGGATGATACGCGAGGCTATTGAAATTAAAAAACATCCAAATTTCAATAGAGAAGATGGATGGGTGCTGCCACCTGCTTGGGATCCTATAATTAACAAAATTAAACCCAAACCTAAGCACACCACTGCAAGACTTCATGATACTAGATATAAGCTCGTTTTGCGTAAATCGGACCAAAAATTAATATTCAAAAACTGAAGGTAGCCGGACTAACTATGACATTGGGACGTCAAACATCTCAGTCCCCCCCGTGACCATGGTTGCTGTAAAGCACCCGAAACGTCGGGAATTAAAAATAAGGAAAAGTAGTGAAATAAACGCGATAAAATCCGTAAATTTAGTTTTATTCAGTGGTAGAGCCATGCTGCAGTTATATTGGTAGTATAGTTGTAGCACGAATGGGTCGGCTCGACCGGGGAAGGACCACGCTCTCACAGAATACCAGCGTAAAATAGCAGGTTAATGCTGCTGTATTTCGTATGGTGAGTGTAGAGAACTGGACACCCTTTTTACTGCAAACGAGGCACATTCCATCTTAATCCTCACGGGTGACAACGCATCTGCATTTTGATTCTCAATCGAGGATAGATGTAGATGTCTATGGGTCGCAGCAACCACTTACCATCAGGTGGAATGTGTGCTCGTTTGTCACCCTATCCTAAAAAAAGTGGAAACACTGCACGGACGCACAGCACACATTGGTGCTCGCTTTCTCGCTTTCGTGCTCCATAAACATTTTCACACCAAGGAGTCGGTCCAACTTTGTTTGTACAATGAACCGGTCCATACGCAGTAGTATAATAAGTCTATGGGTAAAATAAGTGACCTTCGAGCGCGCAGTTCTCGTCCAGCTCGTTGGAGCGCAGCAGCGACGTGAGCGCATCGAGCGCACGCTCCTGCGCCGCAGCGTCGGGCAGCGCGCTCGCAGCGCGCAGCAGCTGCTCCGGGCTGCACGTCTCCAACGCTTCCGACCACATGCTCACTAGGCACTGCCAACGGGAAACACCAAACGTTAGGGGTTTTTTTTTCTTACAGAATCAAACCCGGCACATACGAACCATGAAGGTTAAAGAACAGCAGAACGATCACTACGTACTAAAGCATAGCCCGCCTGTCCTTGAAAATTGTAGAATTTATAGCGGCGCTGACGTCGGTGAGTAGTAACTGCGAAGTTAGCTGTTTATGAGTACAAGTAGATGAAGTTTGTTGAATAATGTACAAATTTTCATTTCATTTTTAATGAGAAAGTTTTCATGTTCCGAAATTTTGTAATTTTAGACAAAAAGAAACATTAAAAAATGGAGAAATATTTTATTGTGCATGGATATGCAAGTGATTTAGCATCTGATCGGAAAAATTGACTGAAAATGACTTTTATTGACTGCACTTAGTGATCGCAGCGCCTCACTTATGGTGTCCATATTTCTGGAACACTATTTTCTACGGTGATCATTCTCCTGTTCTCTAACCTTCATGCTACGAACTGTTATACCCCATCAATGTTAGGAGATCGGTTAACGCATCTTTAATAATTTTTTTTAATAGGATAGGGTGACAAACGAGTACACAGTCCTCCACCTGATGGTAAGTGGTTGCTGTGGCACATAGACATCTACATTTAAGTCCGATTACTAATCAAAATGCAGATGCGTTGTCACCCGTGAGGACTAAGGTGGAATGCCTCGTTTCCAGTAAAAAGGGTCTCCGGTTCTCTACACTCACCATACGAAACACAGAAGCATTGAGCTGCATTTTTACGCTGGTATTCTGTGAGAGCGTGGTCCTTCTCTGGTCGAGCGGACCACTCACCTTCTTCCTATCTTTAGTTTTATGTATGATTGAACAAGTGATACCGTGTACTAGGTTACCATTACAGCCTATCCAAGACTCCACTGGCGAACGTAAGACCAAAGATTGCCTCATTGGCAAGATATTTGTCTTAGCTTATGGGCTTGGCAAGCGGGTTGGCAAGCGCAATATTTTTATACAACTGTTATAACTGCCTCGTTGGTCTAGTGGTTGTAGTGGTGCGATTGCTGATCATGAGGTCCTGGGTTCGAATCCCGGGTCGGGCCAAAAATCAATTATTGAGTTCAATCAAGTAAATTCTCAGTAGCTGCCCGGAGTCAGGAAGTTGGCGGTGTCTCACCCCCATGCCTCGGAAAGCACGTAAAGCCGTTGGTCCTGCGCCTGATCTCTCTCCGGTCGTGTCGGTTTACCGTCCCAGCGGATTATGAGAGTGAGGGAATAGAGAGTGCACCTGTGCTTGCGCATACACTTGGGCACTATAATCCTGTCCTGCGCCGATGGCTAGCCTCCGTTGAGGCAGGCCGCCGTGGCCAGAATTCGGTCTGGAGGACATTATTATTATTACAAACTGTTATAGGCAGCGTACTGCTGACCAAATCCTGATTCAATTTTCTTGTGTAGTCTCTAACGATATCCTCGGGATGACATGGGGTAGTAAATATTCTAACACCGCTACTGCACGTTTAGGTTTATGTAACATGTAAAGTAAAGTTACAAGCATCCCCTAATATCTTAGAGAATTTTAGAACAAGAAAATGTTTTGTATTTTATTATACCAAGCCAGGAAATAGAGTAAATGGGGCCCTACACTCTATTGTGAATAGTCAAAATGTGTCAAAAAAGGCACGTATGGCAATTCACAATGCTGTGTTGGTCCCTACTTTAACGTATGGTAGTGAAAGTTGGGTGTGGCAGAAGAAGCACGAGAGTAGAATAAACGCAGTAGAAATGCGGTCGTTAAGGAGTATGTTAGGGCTGAATCTGAATGACAGGGTGAGAAATAGTGTCATAAGAGAAGAGTGTGGTTTGCAAGATCGTGTTGTGACCAGGATTAAGAAAGGAATGCTTCAATGGTTTGGTCATGTGAAAAGAATGAATGAGGAAAGAGTGACAAAGAAAATTTTTGGTGCAGAAGTGAATGGCAGAGTCCGAAAAAGACGTCCTAGGCGAAAATTTATCGACCAAATTAACGATTTATTGAAAACGGGCCAAATTATGAGCACCCTTAACCGATGAGCACATATGCGTAGGTATATGGATGTGAAGGAGGCGAGAGAGGTGTGTCAGGATCGTGCCAAATGGAAGTATGTAGTCTCTGCCTACCCCTTTGGGTGACAGGCGTGAGTGTTTATTATTTATTATTATTATATTTATTATACCAAGCTGGTTTAATATAGACATTAATATAAACCACACCTGTATCATATGCAACTGATATTCGAGCTGGCACCGGAAGCTGTACTGGACGGCCGTGTGCGTCTTGGTGATGACCTCTCTGTCCCACACGTTCACAGCTGGGAATCTGCACATCAAGAAATAACACATATACGTATAATTTTTAACAAGCAATACAGTTTCAAGGTCATATATAGGAGGGATGGATATGGGAGGATATGAATATATTTTTAATAAATTTGTCACGTGCAGTATAGAGTATGGCACCTATCTGTACAACAGTAAAACCAGCCGATTGTGTCCAATAGACGCTTTCTAAGCTTTGACGAGTAAAACTTACAGCTGCAGACTAGTTACTTATTAATTACACAAAGTAGCTCTTCCACTTAAAAGTAACTACACTGTGGTATGGACTAGATTCTGTTACACCCATAGAATACTATAATACATACATAATAGAAAGGGGGAGTGGGCGGAGCCCGTGTAGCCACTAAACTGTCGCTAACATGTCAATTCACACGTATAACTGTCAACGCGAGAAGATGTGTTTTGACATTACAATCGTTTTCGAATTTCGCATGTAAATTATTTAGAAAATGCCAAATTGCACACTATGTATAAATAAATATGTATTAAAATTCAAACGATTATTTTAACGATGATCTTAAACATTAATCAAAAGTCTAAAATGTGTAAATTTACTCAGTCTGTCAACACAGTGAATCTGGTTTGGTGACGCCAATCCTCGTACAAAATAAGGTTGACAGCCATTCTATTGTGTATTATAGTATTCTATGGTTACACCCTCTGTGTAGTTGCGGAAAGAACTAGCCATATCATCCCGTGGGTGTTATAACACGGGACAGAGGGAAACGAAGCAGAAGATGGGCAGCAATATTGACGACAACCCACCAGCCAAGTCTCTTTTTATATATAGAATAAGGCTGACAAACGAGCACACAGTCCACCTGATGGTAAGTGGATGCTATAACCCATAGACATCTACATCTATCCTCGATTAAAAATCAAAACGCAGATGCGTACTCACCCCTGAGGACAAAGATCTTTGAGTTATATGTACTACGTACTAGAACGCGGGATACAGTAACGCGCGAAAATTGCCATAAGAAATAATTGTTTATTTAGATTGTATTGTTAACCGAGTACATTTTTTTTTAAATTTTCGTTGATTTTGCATGTGTGCTAATTTAATATTAAATTATTATTAGCGCCGCTCCGCACTGCATGAATATCGAAGCCACAATAATAGGTGTACGGATTGCAGTACAGTTCAGTTGAACATAGTGAGTTTTCGGAATGCCAAATCTAGTGCGTAGTACATATATATCGATGACTAAGACGGAATGCCTCATTTCCAGTGAAAAAGGGTCTGTGGATCTCTACACTCGCCATACGAAACACAGTATCATTAAGCTGCTATTTCACGCTGGTATTCTGTGAGAGAGTGGTCCTTCCCCGGTCGAGCCGACCCACTCGTGCTATAAACATAATATAGCTGCATTGTGGCTCTACCACGTGAGAAAGTTAGACTACTGTGGCAAACGTCACCCCTATGAGGCAATCTATTGGGGGAGGGGGGGGCTAAGTTCAACATATAAACTTTTGATAGGCTGTAATAAAATGGAGGTATTATGAACTAATAAAACGTTATTTATTTATTTATATAGCAGACCGACGCTGCAGTTGAATAAGCAAAATTACAAGAGGTATTGTAAGTCTAATGCCGCATTTACACAGCCTTGTTGGGCAGGGAAGTGGGCAGCGTGTGTATGTAAACAGGCTACTCGCGCCGTCACTGGCCATGCCGCTGCCACTGCCTGGCGCAACGGGCAGTGGCAGCGGCAGTGAGTGTTCACGTTCTGCTCATTTGCCGCCGAAGTTCGACCGAGGAAGAACGTGCTATGTTCAGTCAGTTTTTTTCTAAACCTTACCCCTAGACTAGGATTTTCTCCTGTATCGTGGGGGCAGTTTACAAACATAACTTGCACAAGGACAAATATCCAGACCCGGAACAATTACTTGTAGGCCATACGAATACTTGTTCCGTGCGGGATTCGAACCCGCGACTACCAGCGCAGCCACTCATTGCTAAGCCACTGCGCCACGGAGTCGTCCAAAGTGTAAAGTATTTTAATAATATTTAGTAATGATAAAACAATAATATTTTTAGAATTGTATGAAATGCAGCGGATAATATAAGATCCTCATGATAAAAACCATAAGTTGCACATAGCAGCTACTTACACTGAGCAGACATAATGCTGTCATACCAACAAACTCTACGTCAGTCATTGTTGCGAGTTTATCAATGAAGAAATATGAAGGCTGAGTGCGAACATCCACTCGCGTCGTTATTGCCGCAGAAGTATTTAGGGAAATATTTCCGGCAGCGCCAGGAGCAGTGGCAGTGGGTGAGTGTAAATGGGGCATAAAGGTCGGTCTACGCTGGTGGAGCCGAGTACAAGCAGAGCGGCTCAGCTTGTACTCGGCTCCACCAGCGTACTCGCGGTGTCAAGTGTGGACGCACAACGAGCCTACAACATGCAAATTGATGCATGCGATGCAAATCCCTTTGTGTTCGTCAATAAACCGCCAATAGGCCGAGCACAGTCGAGCACGAGCCAAACGCTCGAAGCGCGCTCGTTCGAGGTTTGTAAGTCGATCCACACTACACGAATTTGTGCTCGGCTCGTGCCACGCTCGTGCTCGGCTCATCTAGCGTAGATCCACCTTAATAGTTTCCGAGTTATGGGGGTTCGAAAATAGCTTAAAATGGTTCGTGTAAATATACACACTGTCAGTGCGTCGCCCTTTACTTCTCCAAACTTGGCTGACATAATACCGTATGTCTACAAAAAACGTCCGTCACACGCAAAGCCTTCTGAAGTAAATACATAACAGATTGGGTGCGTTTGGCAGAAAAAAGTTTTTCTTTTTTTGTTTATAAGTTGTTTTTTGCAATATTGTTTTGTATTATATATGAATAGATTACATTTATTAAAAATTTTGTTTTTATATTCAACATTATTTTTAGGTGCCCGGTCGTCTCACTTTTCTCGTATTTGCCCAAGTATGATGTCCGCTTTTGTGTTGAGCCGCTGCAATAGTAGAATGAGCAATATTGCGTCGTGGTCCCCTGAAAATACAATATTAGCCATCTTATCACAAAAGAAAGCTTATAAACAGTCTCAGATATAAAATAGAATCATTTTGCGCTTTGAATAGAGCATAGGCAAATCAGTGACATAACAAAATGCAATAGAAAAGATAAATATAACAAAAAAATAAACAAATAATGAGGAAAAACAAAAGGCGGTCTTATTGATGCGTCTCTTCTAGACAACCCAGAAGAAGAATTAAATAAAGATAAGAATAAATATTAACAGGCAGAGTGCACTAAAATAAGAAGAAATACCAACTTATGTACTAAAAACATTCTTTAGATAGGGCAATTACCATAACTAAGAAGAGGAAAAGAGACGGGTTAGAGAGGCAAATAGAGTTCCTTAACATGTTTCTTGAACACATTTAAGGATTGAGCAATTTTATTTGTCCGGGGTAAAAACAGTGTAGTGGCGGCGTGAGAGAATTTCCTACTCCATATCTCGTGGGTCTTGTAAGAGGCGACAGGGGGATATTAATCGAACTTCTTCTTAATAACAACTGAAAATAAAAAGTTCTGCGGTTGCCAAATCGCTTGCCAAGTGTCAAAACTACGGCAAATATTAATATAACGCAAACTATGGGCCTTGAGTCGTATTTTCAGGACTTTAGTGGCCTGTAACAGTGAATCTTCTTGCTTGTCCCAAAAATGAACCGTAGTTTTATGGTGTTCGTACTTTAGAACAGCCAGTTTTATATTTATTAATTATAATGATTATAGTGACATAACAAAATGCAATACAATACTCCTTATCGTACACCTAGAAAAGAGTGACAAAGAAAATTTATGTTGCAGAAGTGAATGGCAGAGTTGGAAAGGGACGTCCTAGGCGAAAATTTATCGACCAAATTGGCGTTTTATTGAAAACGGGCCAAATTAGGAGTACCCTTAACCTACGAGCATGTATGCGTAGGTGTATGGATGTGAAGGAGGCGAGAGAGGTGTGTCAGGATCGTGCCAAATGGAAGTCTGCAGTCTCTGCCTACCCCTCTGGGTGACAGGCGTGAGTGTTTTATGTAATTTTTTTTATGTTATAATGATTATGGGCATCACTCATTTTGTCAGAGGCATTGAAATTTCATTTTCATTAAAAATATTTTCAAAAATAAATTGTGATGTAACTCAAGATGTTTATTTCATTGAAAAGGTATCTACGTGAATCCCTTGGTTTAATAATGTAAATAGCACGTACAGCTTTTTTCCTGTAGTATATAATCTATATGACATTACACCGTGGCAATATTAAATATAACATATACATGGTAGAGCCACGCTGCTATATTATGGTTGTACGTTGCACGAACGGGTCGCCTCAACCGGAGTAGGACCACTCTCTCACAGAATTACTGCGTAAAATTAATTGCTTAATGCTGCTGTGTTTCGTATGGTGAGTGTAGAGAACCGGGCTCTTTTTACTGGAAACGAGGCATTCCATCTTAGTCATCACGAATGACAACACATCTGTTAACAGTCTTGTTTTTTACTGCATGCACAGCGTAAAATAAGTCTTCTTCACAAGTGTCCCCAGTGTAGGCGAGAGTCAACTTTATTACAAGCAAAAGCTGTGAAATCTACTAACTTATATAAGTATTTTCTCATTCAACTTGTTATAAGTAATAATGTGCCTTACATATGATAAAGCAGGGATGGGAGATATGATAAGGATATAGAACGACGAGTGAATGCGGGAAATAGAGTAAATGGGGCCTTGCACTCTATTGTGAAGAGTCAAAATGTGTGGAAAAAGGTACGTATGGCAATTCACAATGCTGTGTTGGTCCCTACTTTAACGTATGGTAGTGGAAAGTTGGGTGTGGCAGAAGAAGCACGAGAGTAGAATCAACGCAGTAGAAATGCGGTCGTTAAGGAGTATGTTAGGGCTGAATCTGAATGACAGGGTAAGAAATTGTGTAATAAGAGAAGAGTGTGGTTTGCAAGATGATGTTGTGACCAGGATTAAGAAAGGAATGCTTCGGTGGTTTGGTCATGTGGAAAGAATGAATGAGGAAAGAGTGACAAAGAAAATTTATGTTGCAGAAGTGAATGGCAGAGTCGGAAAGGGACGTCCTAGGCGAAAATTTATCGACCAAATTGGCGATTTATTGGAAACGGGCCAAATTAGGAGTACCCTTAACCGACGAGCATGTATGCGTAGGTGTATGGATGTGAAGGAGGCAAGAGAGGTGTGTCAGGATCGTGCCAAATGGAAATCTGTAGTCTCTGCCTACCCTTCTGGGTGACAGGCGTGAGTGTTTATGTAATGTAATGTATGTACATATGATAAAGGAATTTAATTGATTTCTTTTTATTAGTATTCAAAAGGAAGTTGTTAGGTGTAAATTAATGTAATACTTGAGATTACATTTTATAACTGATCAGACCGGTAAGATTTTGTAAGGTTAACAGACTTTTTTTTAAAACAAAACAATGCCTTAAATTTTTTGACAATGTATCATAACTTACATAATCGAACGCCTTAGATAGATAGGTAACTAAAACACCTATAGTAGTATGTATACAATTGTACCTTTCAAGTTACAAATATGTGTTTTAGAAGTGTAACGTCTGCATCAGTAGTCTATGGTGGAACTGAAACTCCGTCTCCATTCGTGCTGTACAGAGACGGAGGAGGTTCTACATTATTAAAAAAATTATTGCCTCGTTGGTGTAGTAGTCGTAAATGCGATTGCTGATTATGAGGTCCGGGGTTCAATTCCTGACTCGGATAAAAATCAGTTATTGGGGTTATCTGATAAGAAATTCTCAATAACAGCCCGGAGACAGAAAGTAAACGGTGTTTCACCCCTTTTCTTCTGAAAGTACTTAAAGCCGTTAGTCCTGCGCCTGATTTTTCTCCAGTCATGTCAAATTACGGTCCCATCGGACTATAAGAGTGAGAAATAGAGAGTGCACCCGTGCTTGGGCACACACTCGAGTATTATAATTCTGTGCTGATGTAGTATAGATGTAGCCCACACGACATAATATTATATATTGATGTTAATTGTACAGTAAGTAGAGTAGTTTAATTAAAGTCTTAGACAGATCAACGTGTCCCTCCTTTATTACCTTCCAACCTTGCACTGCGTAGATGGCTAGTCTCCGTTTAGACTGGCCGTCAAATCAGTCTATAAGACATTATTATTATTATACAGTACTCTCTCGTTAATCCGCCACCATAAAATCCTAACCATGTACAGGAACATCAAATTGAAAAAAAAAATGATTTATTTTTATATTGTATTTAAGAAATCAAAAAACACGAATCTTATATTAAGTAATTACTCATATTAGGAACAAAATGGGTCCAATTTTGCTTGTTTTTTTTTTTACCAAAATATATCTTCTTGATAATTTCATTAAGCATTCTTCGTAAATTTGCAACCATATCGCATGATTTTCTTGGGCCCATTTAATACAAATATCTACGCTATTCAGGGCATCTTCAGATTTGACAATGCTAACAGCATGAAGGATGCCTTCTTCGTCTGATGAATTGTTCAGCTAACTGACACTCTTTAGTCCGGGGGACTAAAGAACGGTTGCTTAGCACCGTGCGGCGGAGTATAGAATTCTGGACGTCTTACGCATGAAAGAGATGTAAGACGGCGGATCATCGAGTCGAAGACTTTCAATGTCGGCGGATTACAGAGTTTAATCAAGACCAATCACCAGTCCAAAAAAAACGAACAATCTCCAGTCCAGAAAAACGGCGGATTATAGTACTTGTTGGATTAGCGAGAGAGTACTATATGATGATGAAATGGGTGCAATAGTTACCGGCGGTGGCCATGAAGTGGTCGGGCAGGCAGGCGGCCAGCATGTCGGCGCGGGCACGCGCCTGCGCCAGCTCGAGCGCGCGCAGCTGCAGGTCCACGGAGCGCGTGGACGCGCGCGACGCCTGCACCAGCGAGCCCAGCTCCGCTGGAGACGCGCGGACAGCCTGCCCCGGGGACTCCTGCTCGGGGCGGATCGACTCTGCAACAACCACTCTCGCCTTTTATTTATTTGTACTTCCATGTACAAACTACTACATATGGCGGACTTAATGCCATAAGGCATTCTCCCCCAGTCAACCATTAGGCTAAACAGAGATAGACATATAAAAGACGGTACATCAAACATCAAAATAGAAAAGGATGATAAAGTAAATTTATATATGTATAAAAATATACAAAACATATACATAATTCGTCACTACCGCTACAAAGGAACGCACCTCATTTTTTTTAAATTACAGGAGAACAAGAAAACATTTATTTAAGATATTAATCATATTCGTAGTTTTCCATTAAATCTAATATTTTTAATTTTCTGCTGAATAAATAAATTATGTAATATTTATATAAATACCCACCAAAACACATTTAAATATTGATTATTTACTATTTTTTACGAATTTTATATCGCATTTAATTTACTTGTTTTTTACTACCGACATTTCGGGACTATCGGTCCCCCGTAACCATGAGTGCTGGAAAACACCCGAAATGTCGGGTATTAAAAATCAAGTAAATTTAACACGATAAAATCCGTAAAAGTAGTTTTAATCAATTACATATTATAAATATAAGAAATCATTACATTCAAATATATGTTCATGAATGTATTTTTATATTAAATAAGCTGTATATTGGTGATGTAAGAACATTCACCACCGCATATGATTCTGTCGGTGTCGTAAAAAGCAACAAAAAGAGGCAAATCAAGAAATGGACGGCAACGTGTTTCTAACGACTTCAACTATGCAACTATGACAAATATCACGCCAGGCAACTTATTGAGCAGGCCCATAATCAGTAGTGGACTTTGGGCTGATGATGAAGGTAAAAAATAAACGCCTTACCCTATGTCCAGCGGTGGGTCATGTTACGAGGATTGTGAAGTACTGATACGCGGCGCGAGTAGGTATTTGTACATAAAATGCAATCTGTTTCACATCGCTCGCTCCGTATCGCCGTCGTGCGATAGAGAGAGAGAGAGAGAGAGAGAGAGAGAGAGAGAGAGAGAGCTGTAAATGTTGGAAGTAATCGCCTACATATTCTTTTTAAAATATTGTATCGAGCGATAACGTTTTCACCCCCTAAACCTTTACGAAATGAGACAATTTTAATCTCATTAGATTCAGTACACTTTAGTTTAGGTCTATACGTTTGTCTTTTATAGTAATTAGTTTTAGTTTATTAAAAATTTACGTGGTAGGCCGTGCTGCAGTTATATTAGTAGTATAGTTGCAGCACGAATGGGTCGGCTCGACTGGGGAAGGACCACGCTTTCTCAGAATACCAGCGTAAAATAGTAGCTCGATGCTGCTGTGTTTCGTATGGTGAGTATAGAGAACCGGATACCCTTTTTACTGGAAATGAGGCATTCCATCTTATTCCTCACGGGTGACAGCGCATTTGCATTTTGATTTGTAATCGAGGATAGATGTAGATGTCTATGGGCCGCAGCAACCACTTACCATCAGGTGGACTGTGTGCTCGTTTGTCACCCTATCCTATAAAAAAAATGCTTGAGGAAGTTTTTAAGTTAAAAATATAGATATTTATATGATAATAACTTATACCGTACGCAATACGAGTATTTCCTTGAAATAAAAACGTACAGATCTATTTTTTGTTATATCTACAACATTTCCAAAAATTGTGAAAATTAGACCATGTTTACGGGAGGGAAAGCATCGCATTTTGTATGAAAATTTACACCTTCGCAATCCCCTTAAGCTGCCCTTTTTTATTCAATACAAAACTTACCTTCTTTGGAGTCAAGTTGCGCTCGGAGCTCGTTATACTGCTCGGTCATCTTATGAACCAGCTCGCGGAATTTCACGATGGTCGCGTCCCTGTCCATTATAGTCTCTAGAGCCGCCTCACGTTCACGCACCGCCTGTGATAAAAACAGAACGCCTAAAGATTTAAACGCTTGTTTAGTAGTTTTCAGTGAAGCTCAGATATTTGCTCAGCATTAAAAAAATATTTCAGGGATGAAACATAATACATAAACTATCACGCTTGTTACCTAGAGGGGTAAATAGTGACTAGGGATTTCCACTTGACATGATCCTGAAATACTTTTTTCGCTTTTGCCACATCCATATACTTACGCATACACACTTGTCTGTTAAGGGTATTCTGAATTTGGCCCATCTTCGAATAGAACATATGTTAATTAATTTAAATCACTTTATTTTGTTTTACATTCAATATAATTATTTTTACAGATCTATTACATGAATAAAATGAAAAATATTAATGAAGATGAGCATGGACAAAACAAAGATCATGTTTAATTTCCATGTCACACCTATGCCGGTAGTTGTTGGGAGCACTATGCTCGACGTTGTTGACGAGTACGTTTACCTGGGACAAAGACCGGGAGGAATAGCTGGCGGCGGACTACTTCTTTTTGTTCTAATAGATTGTACAAGGTGTTGGATAGGGGACGCTCAAGGTCGCTCAGCGAGCTATGGAGAGGGCTATGCTCGGGGTTTCTCTGCGTGATAGAATCAGAAATGAGGATATCCGCAGTAAAACCAGAGTGACCGACATAGCCCAACGGATTAGTAAGCTGAAGTGGCAATGGGCCGGCCATATAGCTCGAAGAACCGATAACCGATGGGGAAGAAAGGTTCTCGAGTGGCAGCCTCGTACCGGTAGGCGTAGTGTAGGGCGACCCCCACTAGATGGAGTGACGACCTGGTAAGATATGGAAGTCGATGGATGCAGGTGGCTCAGGACCGTGCTTTGTGGCATTACTTGGGGGAGGCCTATGTTCAGCAGTGGACTTGTGAAGGGCTGTAATGATGATGATAATGATGTATTACATATTTGATGTAACATTACATCAACTTCATTGCAAAAATTTATATCATTGACAAATCAATGTGAAGACTTAAAAATTACATTTTGTAGCTGGTTGAAAGATTAAACATGGTTTTATGTGTGGGAATGTATCACACTATCAAAAATTGTATTCACGCCTTAAATTAACCTTAATACTTGACAGTATAAACTTATATAGTATTAGTCCTATCAATCTAAAGACAGCTAATTGTACTCTTTCATTTCTCCCAATTCATATTCTTCTGCTCCTCTTATGTAAAGAACATTGCACCTAATTAGTAATTCTACAAGATTTCCTTACTGTACAATTGTCATCAACCATTTCTTCAGTATTACCAAGCTGAAAGTTATTTTTTTTTTCATTCATGTAACCATCGGCAGATACAAGCAAAACTTTATATTCATGGCTCCACTTAAGTTTTACAAGAACTGCCTTTCCTGAGGCTGTTAAGTAATGGCTGGGGGTTAACTGGCATAGACGCCGCCATTTTTGCTGTTTGTTTTTCCTGTGAATTTAATTTAATTTAAACTAAAACCTTAAATTGCCGCCGCTTCCACAAGCATAGATGTATAAAGTAAAACATTATCTAAATTCAAAATTTCATTCGAATTGTTAAAGCCGTCCTCAAGTAATCATTTACTCACATAAATAAATGGTTTGCTAAAGGAATTGTTTAATTAAAGTATAAGATAATTTTTAATATTATTTTTTGATTTGGATGGGCTCGGTCAGGGACGGGCTACACTCTCACAGAATACCAACGTAAAATAGCAGCTTAATGCAGAGATGATTTTTAGTAGATATGTGGCATTTCATTTTAGGGCTCAGGGATGAGAATTTTTATCATTATGATTCTTATCCGAGCATAAACGTGAATGTCTATGCTATCTGCACATTTGTTACCATTATTCTATAAAAAATACCTCTCACTGTAATTATACTAGCTCTAGCTTTCTTTACCTTTCAAGCTAGAACACAGTAAGACGCGCAATGACACTTGGCGGGAGATATAGACAAGAGGGTGTTGATAGAGGCAACATGGTATATATATATATATATATATATATATATATATATATATATCATCATCATCATTACAGCCCTTCACAAGTCCACTGCTGAACATAGGCCCCCCCAAAGTAATGCCACAAAGCACGGTCCTGAGCCACCTGCATCCATCGATTTCCTGCATGTCTTACCAGGTCGTCACTCCATCTAGTGGAGAGTCGCCCTACACTACGCCTACCGGTACGAGGCTGCCACTCGAGAACCTTTCTTCCCCATCGGTTATCGGTTCTTCGAGCTATATGGCCGGCCCATTGCCACTTCAGCTTACTAATCCGTTGGGCTATGTCGGTCACTCTGGTTTTACTGCGGATATCCTCATTTCTGAGTCTATCACGCAGAGAAACTCCGAGCATAGCCCTCTCCATAGCTCGCTGAGCGACCTTGAGCGTCCTCATACGGCCAGCAGTGAAGGACCACGTCTCTGATCCGTAAGTCATCACTGGCAACACGCACTGGTTGTACACTTTAGTTTTCAGAGAGTGAGGTATACCTGACCAGAAGATGTGTCGTAATTTCCCGAACGCTGCCCAGCCGAGTCGAATCCGTCCATTGACCTCTCCGTCGAAGTTGGACTTACCTAGTCGGACTATTTGTCCCAGGTAAATATTTTTTTTATATATATATATATATATATATATATATATATATATATATATATGACTTTCAAGAAAAGAGCCTATTCCTTTTTAAAAGGCCGGCAACGCTTCTGCGATTCCCCTGGTGTTGCAGTTGTTCATGGGCGACGGTAATCACTTACCATCAGGTGAGCCGTATGCTCGTTAGCCCCCTATCCTATAAAAAACCTATCTAGACGAATTCATGGGCATTAAACGACAGGTGTCTTTGAGGCACTCTTAGTCTTCATGGGTGAAAACGCATGCCAGTTACCTTTTAAAAAACTGACTCTTACCTCTCTAGTAGCGGCGTGCGCCATCTCCAACTCCTCCCTCAGATCCATCTCCAGCTCCCTGTTCGACTCCACCAACTGTTCGTGGACTTCTTGCAAGGCTTCCAGCTCGGACACGTCTTGCTTGAGTTGTTCAACCTGTATTTAAAAATAAAGCTTCATTACAGATTTTGAAAGAGAACAGTCTATCCAGATAACTTTGGAAAAATATTGTCCATAACGATTTCTTAAATTTACGCGAACACTACACATTGAAGAACACATACGCATAGTATATACGGATTCTATCGCGTTTAATTTACTTATTTTAACTTATTTGTAATTCCCGACGTTTCGGGTGCTTTACAGCACCCATGGTCACAGGGTGGGGGGGGACTGAGATGTTTGACATCCCAATGTTATATTTAACCTGGCTACCTCCAGTTTTTTTTAATATTGATCTGCGAAAATTAATATTAAAAAACTAAAAGGTAGCCGGTCTCAATATGACATTGGGACGTCAAACATCTCTGTCCCCACCTCCCGTGACCTTGGGTGCTGAAAAGCGCCCAAAACGTCGGGAATTAAAAATAAGTTTTAAATTAAACGCGATAGAATCCATATATATATGACAATATAGTAGTTTTATTCAATAATGTCCATTTTACCTGCCATCTGAGCATGACTTTTCTATAGCATCCAGTATATTTATTATTTATATGAGTATTTTTATTATATTAAATGTATTATACGAATGTTTTATATATATATATATATATATATATATTTTATATATATACATATTCGTATTCATATCGCAGTCGAGGGCCTGTATTTTAAAACATATTTAGATGTCCACCAGTAGCCCTGTTCATATTTCCATAGAATTTTGATTGCTGGTGATGTAATAACACTATTGTTAAAAAAAATTTACTGCCTCGTTGGACTAGTGATCGTACACGCGTTAGCTAAACATTAGGTCCTCGAATGGACGTACGAGTCGGGCCAAAATCTTTCAAATCAAAATCGTTATTGAGTTTTTCTTTCACGAAATTCTTAGGAGCAACTTCGAGTCAAGAAGTTCGTGGTGTTTCACCCCCGTGCCTCAGAATGTCGCTGGTCCTGCGCCTGATCTCTCTCCTGTCCCATCGGACTATGAGAGTGATGGAATAGAGAGTGCACCTCGGGCACTATAATCCTGTCCTGCACAGATGGCCAGTCTCCGTTGAGATGGCCAGCGTGCCTGAAATTCGGTCTAGAAGACGGACATATATTGTCAAATATTTGTGCTAAGAGGTGAGATCTAAAGATTTTAATTACCTACATAAACGACAAAGTTCAGTAAGTTCATTAATGCCGCTACATACATATTAATATTTAGTTGCGTTATTTACAAAACGCAATACTAAGTTAGGGACGATCCTCATTATAATGCCGTTCGCAGTTCGTTCTCGGTCCGATCTCGGTCTGATAAAATATTATCGAGTAAAAATTATATGTGTGCATTCTATCCGTAACAGTCAAATTTCTCTCGAATCCCATTCAAATAATATAATAAATCAGACCGAGATCGGACCGAGAACGAACTGTGAGCGGCAAATGAGGATATCAAAGATTTTTTTAAGCCTTACTCCACACTAGGATTTTCTCCTGTGTCGTGGAGGCAGTTTACAAACATAAATTTTCTTATGTGGTAGAGCCATGCTGCAGTTATATTAGTAGTATGTTGTAGCACGAATGGGTCGGCTCGACCGGGGAAGGACCACGCTCTCACAGAATACCAGGGTCAAATAGTAGCTTAATGCTGCTGTGTTTCGTATGGTGAGTGTAGAGAACCGGAGACCCTTTTTACTGGAAACGAGGCATTCCACCTAAGTCATCACGGATGACAACGCATCTGCATTTTGATTTGTAATCGAGGATAGATGTAGATGTCTATGGGTCACAGCAACCACTTACCATCAGGTGGGCTGTGTGCTCGTTTATCATCCTACCCTATAAAAAAAACAACACTCACTTGGTCCTCTAAAGCCATTTTCTTCTCTGCTAGTTGCTCTACCATTTCCTCAGCACCTAAAGCAGCGTCGACTTGCTCGCGGAGATCCGCAACTTGCGCTTCCAACTCCTCGACTCTGGCCGATAGTTTTTCTTTCGTACGGCTCAGTTCAGCTATTTCCGATTTGTATTGTTCCAAGTCCTGGTATAAAAACGGTATAAAATATTTGTTTAATACAAAAACAAAAATTTTAATACATAATATTCAATTGGATTTCGGCAAATAAGGTAAGTAGGTAGGATTTCGGCAAATAAGATAAGTGTTTCCATTTATTTACTAGTGTCCGACATTTCTGTTTATAACTGATTTAAAAAAAAATATCCGCTGACCCAATGCGTGTCGGCGAACTTTATTTATCTTCGAAAAATATTTTTTTTATATTTCTCAGACATGCAGTTTTCCTCACAATTATATAGATATAACATTGGTTTTAAGAAATGGTCTATTGGTTTTTTAGTTTTATTTTCATCTTCATCATCATCATCATAAGCCTCTGGAGGATTTGCCTTAATCTTTATGCTTAGCTTGGCTTACGAATTGCTTGTACCATCGTTACGAATTGATGAACTGTATAAATAATTTAAATAATATTCAGTAACAGCCAATTTTCCTGGTTTATTTAAATGTCGCCCCACAAAATCTACCCCCCTAGCCCTGGCCCCCACCAGCCCTCTCACCTACTCCACACTTTGAACTTGTACAAACCTTTTGCATCTTCTGCATAGCGTGCTTGTCGTGCGCGGAGAGATCACGCAGACGGACCAGCGTGTCCCTGAGACGCACGTTCTGCTGCTGCAGAGCTCTCATCTCGTATCCGGTGGCGCCGCCATCGGCCGCTGCGTACGGGTGCTCTGGTCAGAGCCACGCACGCACACGTTACACACGCGACACAAACGTACACACACGTACACACACGTGGACGGACGTGAAACGAACCGTTTACTCGCCAGTGTGAACGAATGATTGAAGTCATACGCGATCGGTTGTGAATATTTGATGATTTAAAAAAAAGCCACCGGAACCGATCGTAAAAACTCTCGTCTTTTGCAAGCAATAACTTATACTTAAGTTTAACCGTGAAACTTTAACTTTTACTATAACTAAAAACAGAACACCCATTTGGACTAGGAAGATCCGAGTTTAGTAGAACGAAAGAGGTAAGACACTCATATGGTTTAAGCTAGGTCCACTCCTTAAACGAAGAGTGGGCAAATGCGTTCCCGTAGCTCTGACAAAGGGTATAGTGGGGTTTTAGTCGGCACTATAACCTGTGTGCCAAGAGGATTTTCCCCGTGCATATAAAGGAGTGGTATTTAACTTAGACGTGGTGATGTTATCACATAATTTATTCCTATCTATAAAAGTCCATGCGAAACATAGGCCTCCCTCATAGATTTCCTCATGGGGGAGTTTTGCCATAGTTGCCATGCTTGGCAAGCTGGTTGGCAATCGCAGTTTTTATTATTATTTTGATTTGTTATCAGGAAAACACTGCTGCTTATCTCATACTACTTTTGAATCTGGTTTTTATAGAAAAATAATAAATATAAGGCATTGGCTATTTACATGTTTTAAATTTAGCGCTCTATTATTTTAACAGGTAGCGTCACCTACATAGGAAAAAATTGATAATTTCCACCCAAATAAATAGATTTCACAAAGTATAAAATCGATAAAGGCTGTATGGTGGTACATTTGTGCTTTGTCTAGGGCTAAAAAATATGAAAGCGCCTTTAAATTTTTAATAGCAATAAAAAGTATAAAAGTTGAAAAACATTTTATCAACAAACTACACGTACCCTATGTTATTGATATGAAATAGGGGAACAGTCGATGTAATTCTGAAGCTAATGAAAAAACCGGTCTCAAATCTCAATATGTCAATTTTTTTTTTGGGATTTATCGTGAGCACATACAAAATCAACATCCGGACATCCACGTAAAAAAAATTTCAAACCGTTTTTTTTTACGTGGTTTGCTACGCTGACGACACGCTGGTACTGGCACAAGGGGGGTCGTACGAGGCGGCGGCGGAAACTATGACACGCGGGGTTGCGATAGTCGTTGAGAGGATTCGGCAACTGGGTCTCGAGGTGGCTCTGCACAAGTCCGAGGCCATGCACTTCCATGGTCCTCGGAACAGGCCACCACCGGGATCCTCAGTGATGGTAGGAGGGGTATCCATCGGCGTCAAGTCGACGCTGAAGTACCTAGGACTCGTCCTCGACGGCCGATGGAACTTCGTTGAGCACTTCCGACGTTTGGCTCCCAAACTGGAACGGACCGGGGCTGCCTTCAGGCGGCTCCTGCTGAACCTGTGAGGGCCAAACGCCTCCTGCTGGAGGCTCTACGCGGGGATCGTGCGGTCCATGGCCCTTTACGGGGCCCCGGTGTGGGCGCGTGGTTTGGCGTGGCTTGCCGTCCACCACCTGAACGCGCCCCAAAGGGTGATTGCCGTGAAAATGGTTCGCGGCTACCGCACGATCTCCCGCGAGGCGGCGAGCCTCCTTGCCGGATTGCCGCCGTGAGATCTGGAGGCGATAGTCCTCGCGCGCCCGCACGAATGGCGCGCGGAGGCACTGTGCCGTGGGGAAACCCCGCTGCCGCGGCAAGTTGTCGCGCAGCGGACAGACTTCCGGCACGATCTCATGGTGACATGGAGACAGCGACTGTCGCAACCCCGTGCTGGGCACGCCACTATAGCGGCGATAAGACCCCTTTGAGGAGTGGCTTGAGAGACGCCACGGCATCCTCACCTTCCGCCTGACGCAGGTCCTCACCGGACACGGTGTGTTCGGGAGGTTCCTGCACCGAATCGGGCGGGAGGAAACGCCCGGGTGCTCCCACTGCGAGGATGGACCGGAGGACACGGTGGAACACACCGTAGAGGTGTGCCCTGCTTGGGCGGAGCACCGCCGTGTCCTCGTAGCGGCGATAGGCGGCGGCGACCTCTCGCGTCCGGCCCTGGTCGAAGCCATGGTCCGGAGCGAGACGGAATGGGATGCCGTCACCACCTTCTGCGAAGCAGTGATGCTAGCGAAGGAGGTGGCGGAGCGGGAGAAGGAGAGAGCAGCAGCTTTCCTCCCCGGCCGCCGCGGGAGACGCCCCGGGCGTCGGGGGCTACGTCGTGGCCCCCTGCCACCGTAGGGGCGGGCCTGTGGACGGCGAGCAATGGGTAGCTCGCCGTCCGTCCGTCTAACGACGACAGGCCGTGTCGACGGCGCGTTTTGTTCCACGCGCGCCTCAAAGAGCTGTCAGCAGCGTGAAGGGGCCCGCAAGGGCCTGCCGGGGCTGCGGGCTGTTCGAAAGAGATACCGCGGCTCCGGAACGTAAGGGCACTGAAGGAACACGGATGGTTTTTAGTCAGTAAAAGTCTGACACTCCCTTACGCTCCACCCAGAGCGAAAGGCGTCATTAGATGATTTTCCATCCGCAAAAAAAAAAAAAAAAAAAAAGGCTATGTAAGGGCTTTTGATGTTTGCGATTTGGATTTTCGCAACTCCAGTAGCGACAATTTTGCTTATTGACATGGCCGTTGATGTGAAAGTGAGCCTCATCAGAGAATAACACGTTATTAAACGAAGTAAAGCGGTTCAACATTTCATTTGCGAAATTTAGTCTGTGGATAGTGTCAGTATCTTTTAATTCCTGTACTATCTGAATCTTGTACGGGTGAAGATGTAAATCTTTCTTTAAAATTCGCTGTAACGATGTTCTGGGTAAGTTTAATGCACTGGAACGCTTACGAGTAGACTGGGTAGGATTTTCACGAATTGAGTGTTTCACTACATCGATGTTTTCTTCCGTCCGTGATGTCCTTGGTCGACCTGACCGTTGTTTATCCAACGTCGAACCACTCTCTTCGAACTTAATAACCCAGTTCTTAATCGTTTGAACACTTGGAATGTCTTTAAAGTTACGTAAATTCTGATATTCTCGAAATTTACGCCGCACATTGGTAGCCGAATCATTGTTTCGATAAAACTCGCGCACACAAAATGCACGGTCCGCACCGGTGGAACGCTCCATGGCGACTGAATTCCCAGAAACCGTCGGTACTCCCCCCGCACCGCGCGCGCCACTCATGCGCGCCTTTTGTATTTTATTCGAAATTTACATTTCTAACGATATGCGGCTACACATTGTATTATCGTATAAGTGCAATATGTTTATGATAGAGGCTTTTTAAGAACACAAAATTGCACGACTTTGACGTGTCGAGAGTAAAGCACTACTTAATAAAGCGCTTCGCGTTATGAGACGTGCAAATTAAAATTGTAAATCATTAACATACTGAAGATTTGAAATAGATTCACTCCGAAACGATGAAGATCACTTAATAATAATCGAATGATTGATGCTGAACAATTACAGACCTATTCAGAATATTAGCGGTAATTGCAGAATAACTTTAAAGACAGTAATTCAGTAGAGCTTGTAAAAGAGCATCGTGCATCTACAAAGCACTTATGAAAATGTTAACTTCAATTTTAAGTTTTAAATGTGGTAGTGCCACGCTGCAACTATATTATGTTTGTAGCACGAGTGGGTCGGCTCGACCGGGGAAGGACCACACTCTCACAGAATACCACCGTAAAATAGCAGCTGTGTTTCGTATGGTGAGTGTAGAGATCCGGAGACCCTTTTTACTGAAAACAAGGTATTCCATCTTAGGTTTCATGGGTGACAACGCAACTGCATTTTGTTTCTTAATCGAGGATAGATGTAGATGTCTACGGGCCACAGCATCCACTATCCACCATCAGGTGGACTGTGTGCTCGTTTGCGCACCCCTATTCTATAAAAAAGTGCCAGTAAAATAAATCTGCACTATGAGAAATTAAAAATACTGCAGTCCGCCAACATGCAGCGGGGTCAGCACGGCAAACTCATCCTTACATGAAATACCCTCTCAATATTTAGAGGTCTGTGTCCAGTAATTAAACTTATATAGGCTTTTACTTTAATATATTTAATTCATCGCTATGTGCCACAAAATTTTGATAATAATCCATCTACGACAACCGATCGCTGAAGACAAAAAATTTGTTGTAGATAAAATTGATTGTTTTAAATGACATCGTTCACAACCGTCCACGGCTACGTTACGTTGTGTTAAAACATGCACTGTCTCCCTACGACAGTCAGTACTTGTGTCTGTCGATAAATTAGAAATAAATGGGAAAGATGATTTGGAAAGGGGATCAACGGAAAGGGAAAGGGAATTTCTAGTTGGAAATCTCTTTCTAGCTATCTCCAGGGCGGAGTTTTAGAACATTTAGGACGAAATGGCGTTGTGGTTTCACGTACACTACCATAAATCGATCATTGAATAGCGCGATCATAATTTTAATACATACAGGAGTGTTCCATGACAAGCTATTCCATCCGTCCCGTGTGCAGCAAACTTTCGACGTATCAATTACCAAGTAAAGAAGCATTAAATTATTTTGTTTTAACGTTATTAAGAGTTTACTTTTACGGAAGCGCCATGCAGGTTTAAATTTATTACTGCAGATAATATTTATTTTAATTATATTTTAGCAAATTATTTCAAAGAAAGTGTACTTACTATAAATTGAGAAAAGTAATAATGGAACAGAATATTTATTTATTCATTATAGATTAGATTATAATACGAAATTCTTATCGAAAATAATTTTTTACTTTTAACACTGATTCGAAAATACCTAGTAGTATATCAACTTCGTTAATTTTACTCTTATATATAAACTGTCATATTGTTAATACTACAATAGTTTCATAATTAAAATATTCATTATAACGATCATCATCATCATCGCTAGTCATGATATTTTAGATCTAACAAATTGAAATAGTACTTAGACCGTATAATGATTTATCGGCGATGACTATAACACTTTTCGTAAATTTTTACAGTAGCCATGGAACCAAATAACAAGATCATAAATTCTGTTTTCATGCAATCGCACATTAGACCATGTTAAACTGAGCATAAACATATTGAAGGGAATGGAAGTGAGAATAGTCAAGTCATTTTGTCAAGGGAGACAATAAAATAAAACACATGCTGTAAAATTAAAAACAAAATAATTAATGCAACAAAACACAGAATATAAAAATATAAATAATATGGTTTACTAATGTATAAAATTATATAAATGTCGTCTAAACGAAACCACAACCATAATGATCTCAGTATTTAAAACATACGTACATGCATTGGTTGAGCAAATAACTCTATAAGGGAAGAAACATATATTGTAAATACATAGAGTACAAATAATATATAACGGTAAATATGTTATTGATCAAAATATGATCGTTCAGATATTGAACCGATCTGTGATACCAAATATGACATGAATCATGTGTTACACAACTTTTTTAAGTTATTTTTAATTGATTTAGTTATAATTAATAATACCGTTTACCCTGAAAGTAAAGGTTTTGTAATTTATATTACTATAAACACAGAAAATAAAAGAAAATTAGGTTTACTGACAACTTCGCTCCCTAATAGTAAATATTCGTGACTTTAGCATGTCAAGAAGCAATTTTAAGATTATTGTACGCGGCAACAACATGAAATAAAATTCAATTTAAAAAAATTATAAAAAAATTATAATTGAATCGGCACAACACAGTTGATGTTATATAGTGAGCTATACGAAGCAAAATGTCAGTACGATTGTTATATTCATAAACGCATAGAAAATAATATTTTTGCAACTATTTGAATTTAAGAATAGAATAGAATAACTTTAAATATACATTACAAGAATATTTATTTAAAGTCTACTACTGGTTTGGAAAAGCCTTTTTCCTGGGAAGAACCAACAAGAAACTCAATGGGACTTATTAAATGATTAATCTTTTCACAATTTCCTAATCCGACCTCGACGAAAATATTACTTCAAACTGCAATTAGATTTGCTATTTTTGGCTATAAAGAACCTCAAATAGTCTAGTTTCACTAATGAGGTGTGGTCGATACACAACGGCATAGATGTCATCTACATTAAAGCACCAAGTTCCGTTGATGAAGGATGGTGTACAGATAAACCTTGTTAGGTTTTTGCGACACAGTGTTTTAATATATTTCAGTTGTTTGAAATGTTGCTTTGACAGCAATTGTTTAGAAATATTTTAAGTAATTATCACAAAAAACTCCGAAAAAAATTAAATACGATTTATATCTTTCTGATATTTCATCAACCAATAACATATTTAACGTTTGTTTACTTAACCTTATTATTTTATCAACTGAATATATATATATATAAATATTTTAATATATAAAATAACACAAGAAGCATTTTGTGTAAACTCGTGTGCGCTGTCTCTAGTTATAAAAATCACGCATATAAAAGTAGAAATGCAACGGTACTATAATTATTAGTGGATTTTAATTGTTTTTGGTTCACATATACTTATAATCAGATGACTACAGGTAACTAGCAAAAGATAATTTGTGTTTGGGACGAGAATTATATTTATTGTGAAAATTGAAATGGAAACCACATGTTATGTACAGTGATCCATACCCAGCATTGGGATTAATATAGGTTATTTTAATCCCACTGCTGCCAAAATGTCCCCATTAGAATATACATCATACGTGGTAGAGCCACGTTGCAGCTATATTATAGTTGTAGCACGAACGGGTCTGCTCGACCGGGGAAGGACCACGCTCTCACAGAATATCAATGTAAAATATTAGCTTAATGCTGCTGTGTTTAGTATGTAGAGTGTAGAGAACCGGAGACCCTTTATTACTGGAAACGAGGCATTCCATCTTAGTCCTCACGGGTGACAACGCATCTGCGTTTTGATTTTTAATAGTTGATAAATGTAGATGTATATGGACCACAGCATCCACTTACCATCAGATGGACTGTGTACTCGTCTGTCAACCTTATTCTATAAAAAAAAACATTTTGCTAGTTACCATGTTTGTCAGAATGGTTGGAAACTGCAGTTTTTTTAAATTATTTGACTTGTTCTTAATAAGATGCTGCTGCCCGTCTCCTTCATGTTTTCCTCCCGTCGCTTCCTATGGGGATAGTGGATACTCTTACGTCGCTACTGGCAACCAAAGCAAGATTATTTATAAACCATAGAATACTATAATACATACATAATAGAACGGGGGTGTGGGCGGAGCCCGTGTACCCACTAACATGTCACTAACACGTCAATTCACACGTATAAATGTCAACAAAATCAATCGTTTTCAATTTTCGTGTCAAGTGTCGCTGCATGAAAATTATTTAAAAATGGCAAATTGTGTAATAATTACGTGTCGAAAGAACAGCGGCAAATGGAATTTAAATAAAGGAGACATATTCTACAACCAGTAGAAACCAGAAGAAGTCGAAACTATTTTAAATTTTGTGAATATTAGAAACAAAAATAAAGAAATATTTATGTGTCAAAAACATTAATCAAAAGTCTAAAATGTGTTTGTAGTAGTAATAACTGATAATACTAAGTAATTGCTAGTATGTGTGCTCTGGACGACGCCGATCCTCCTACAAAGTAAGGTTGACAGCCATTCTATTGTGTATTATAGTATTCTATGTTATAAACCAATCTAGTATATGAGACAATTTATGTGAGAGGCCTTTGTTCAACGGTGGACTTTAAAAGGCTTTAACAGTTCCTGACTGTGGTAAATGTTGTGCAGTATAAACTCATTCCCTTTATTAATTTATCAGCAACTCCATAGACAAAAATATATATTTTAATCCCTAAATTAATTTCTGTGTATCTATTGTTGCAAGCCATAATTAATGCCACTAACGCCATCTAAAATCGAGTGGCTGAACTAAGAGAGAACTTTCTACACTTAGTCGGTTGAGACCGGTATGTGCTCGAACATTTGAGATGTTTCAGTGAAAAAGGTCTATATAAGTCCAGTTAAAAACCGCGACCGAGGCGGTATTGAATTGGCGATACCAGCGCAGAATTCGATGTGAATGATGCTACATATACAAGTTTAAACTTACGTAATAAGGAAACTTCTTTAAGATCATTTTTCCGAAGAGGTGACGTTTTCATACTTGATAGAGGATTTAGGGATGTAATTAATGAACTCCAGGGATATGGCTTTGTAACACATATGCCAGAGTCTCTACTTGAGAATGAACATCGATTAACAACCCAGCAGGCAAATCAGTGTCGTTTTGTTACTATGTGCCGCTGGGTTGTAGAAGTGGTTAATGGTAGGTTGAAAAGGGATTTTAGACTCTTTCTCTTCGTCATGTTTTTAACAATAGAGCGGTTTTGCACCTAAAGGATGATTTTAGAATCTCATGTGCCCTAGTTAATAAGTTTCAAGTTGTTATAGAAGACCCACCAGAAGCCATGGAATATGTAAGAATTGCTAAGGATAGCCTTTCACTAGAAAACGATTTGGCAACTTATGTTGAACAGGCAAATTTCAATAGAAGGAGTGTGAATTTTCAGTTGATTGTCAGTAATAATCCACATTTAGATGGATTTCCACAATTGACAATAACTGATTTAAAACGTTTAGCTCTTGCGACTTACCAACTCAAACAGGCTAGATCTTATTATGGGGAACACATCCGTCGGACTGGTATTTATTCAGTTGAGGTGAATAGTACTATCGATGATGATGTACCTTTGATTTTGGGGCTTAATAATTACCTCTTAAGAGGTAGGATTAAATCTAGACATGACAACAGTGGTACTTATCACACATATTTATTGATTAGCAGAGATGATGCTGTGGCCAACACTTTAGAAACCATAGTAGGTCATTGCTGCAGCTTCCTTGTCGGTAAGCGAACAGTAGGCTGCTGTGCTCATATAATGACGATAGTGTGGTATTTAAGCTGGGACGGTATAATGACGTAACTGCGCCGGGAACGGCTTTAGACGAGTTTTTTCAGGAGTGTGATGAATGATTAAAGTAAATATATTTTAAATAAATATTTTTGACTTTAAATCGCTATTAAAAAACCCAAATGGACTTGTTTGTTTTATTTTTTCTATCATTTACCTAATCGATTCACAACAACATGAGCTTGAGCAATAGTGTTGTCATGAATAGTATCGTACCTTAGATTAAAGGGTTAAAGACGCTCTAGACTCAACGAGCTTATTTCGGTCTGGGTGGTCACACTTATAATAATGTATTATTGATATTGGTGTGGTAGTGTGATCGCGGTGGCGTCCAATTATATACATATTACCTTTAGATACGCTACCCACTCACAGTATTGGCAATATGTATGAAGGTCGGGCAAATATCCGAGTTTCAGTCACAATTAACACAATGTAATCCATTAATAAATGTAATTCTTACAAATATTAATGGATTACTAATATTATTGGTTTTTAGAGCAATAATGTTTGTCCATGTTTAAAGTGTCAATTTAAAATAGGTCGTTGGTAGCATCGAAAAAGTGACGTAATGGTTTTTAGGTTATTTTCGATTTTATAAAATAACTCCAAAACCCGGGTTTTTTTTTTCAAAAAGGACTTTTGTAGGAGTTTAATAGGATTAGTGTAGTCTATAAAAGAAAAAGTTTGATTTTGATGCAACTTGGTACGAGATTCCATACATCTATGGTCATTCTCCTTTAGTAATTCAATCGGCAGCTTTTATTGTCACAAACCCTAAGCTCGCAACACTATGTACGTAAAATACGATTGTAGAGAATCGTAACTTGCCACGGACAACTTCAAATGGAAACTTACGGATATTCCCTCCGGCTTCCATTTCAGCGCGCATAAGCTGAAGGTCGAGAGTAGCCTCTTCCAACTTATCTCGGCACTGCTCCAGTTCCATCTGTAAAGCTTCAGCCCTCTCCTCGGCCATTTCTTTGTCCAACGCCGCCATCTCAGCTGCTTCTTGAAGTTCTGCGGTCTCATCATTATGGGCCTCTAATGCTTCTTGTGCTTCGCGGACCTTAAAATGTATGTTTTAGATATGTTCAATATATGATTCATGTAAAGCTATATCGATCCAAATAGACCATAGAATACTATAATACATACATAATAGAACGGGGGAGTGGGCGGAGCCCGCGTAGCCACTAAAATGTCACTCACGTCAATTCACACGTATAAATGTCAACACGAGATGTGTTTTGACGTTACAATCGTTTCCAAATTTCGCATGCAAATTATTTAGAAAATTCGAAATTGCACCCTATTTACAAATAAATATTTATTAAAATTTAAACGAATTTTTTAATGATGGTCTTGAACATTAATCAAAAATCAAAAATGTGTAAATTTATTCAGTCTGTCAACACAGCGAATCGGGAACGGCGACGCCAAGCCTCGTACAAAATAAAGTTGACAGCCGATCTATTGTGTATCTATAAATGTATTCTATGAGATAGGCAGACAGAAAAACACTTTCCGTTCACTACTGCACATGAGTCTCTCCAGTTTTATTTATTTTTACAATTACAATTCTAGTAACATAGACGTGATAGCAAAAACACAAACATATTTTTTGTCAATAACCATCGCGGGTGTGTATACAACAACTAACCAAAGTTTCACCGTTAACATATGGTTTGTATTGGAGTGTGTATTGGAACAAACTAATTTTTATTTTACTTAGATATAGTTAGGCGACGAACAAGCTTTTTGTCAAATATTTGCTACATGTGACAGACAAGGTTCGGGTACTATCAACGAATTCCATGGATTGGTGATAAAAATCGTTATCAAAATTGGTACGGCAGAGGGTACGGCCCGGCCTTTTTTTTTTCAGGAGATTCATGCCTTTCGTTGTCCTTTTGTCTATGTATTTGTCCAGCAGTAGTTCTAAATAAACCACACTGAATTACGTCACATCTCAGTGACAAATACTTAAATTTAATTTGGACCATTTTTTTCCATCTGCGGTCGCAATTCCCTTCTCGTTTTATTGGATACTATCAAAAAAGGCAAGGAGATAACCAAAAAAGGTTAGAAATTGAACAGCTTCGAATTTTGAAAATCTTATATAGGCGTTATTATATTTTAGATGTTTTATTTTTTTACTTTCAGGGGATGGCATCATTAAAAAAGCTTTAGAAACGATGAGAAACGCAACCAACGGACAACACCCTAAATATTATTTTTACCTCCTGCTTAGCGCGTTGTAGGTCTCGTTGCAGTTGAGCTTGAGACTCCATGATCTTGGTCTTGAATTCATTAGCTTGGTCCAACTGGAGACGCAGACGTTCGAGCTCACGAAGCTTCTCCCGGTCTTCAGCACGTCTAACTTTCAGAGTCTCTAGCTTCTCCTTCAGATCTTCGACTTCCGCCTTGAGGTTTGTGATCTGTAAATGAGAATGTAATAAATAAATTAATAAATTATATAATAACATTGATAGTAATATAAATTATAACCAATTAATACACGTAGTGGAGCCACAAAATACCAGCGTAAAATAACATCTTTTGGTTGAGCGGAAAACCATTCGAATTTATTTTATTAGAAGGTAGGCTTGCCAAAGCGTTTGTCCCTTTCCAAAAACCTACCGTCCTATCGGCACATCGGGGTGGTGGGGTAGGAGGGGAAAGAAGATAGTTCTACAATGTCACGCGATCATCGCAACCGAAGGAATAAAAGGCGCGCGCGGCCTACGTGCGCCCTTCTTCCATTCGCGCTCTTCGTTGGAACCACACCACCTAGGACAGTAGTATTCTAGAGGGCTCTTGCCCACGCGCACCGCTAGTACAACCGCATTAGCCCGGAGCAGTCGAGCTCCGGGAGAAACCGCCTCTCCTCGTGTGAGAAATAGTCGCGCACCGCTCTCTTCCATGGCATCACCGGACAGGAACGCATCTGGGGCCCCAGAGAATCTCGCGGAGCGCCCAAGCACATGAACACCCCGGTGAGTGAACCCCACCTTAATTCATATTCATATCTGCTTGATATAATTGTGTTTATTAGTTAATCCGCTCCAATTTCATTTTCTCCTAATCAAGCAGGGGTTCCTTCATAGATTTTGGCAAGCAATAGTTCGATTAGGGAAGAGGGAGTGCATTGTATGGAAACCGCGTGCTATAGTCGCCATTTTGTGTAGACGGAAGAAGCAATTTCGCGTATACAGTCCATTTGGGTTTAACATCTCGCGTAATAGGCTTAAGGCTCGACCGGGGAATTAGAAACTCGGTAACCTTAGGCTCGTCGCTCCACCATCTTTAATGCTGTTGTTTTTCGTTTCGTAAGTGTAGAGAACCTGAAACCTTTTTTACAGGAAACGAGGCATTTTTTTTATCGAATAATAGTGACAATCATGTACACAGTCCACCTGATGATACGTGGATGCTGTGGCCAATAGAGACATCTACATTTATGCTCTATTAAAAATTAAAATACATATGCGTTGTCACACTTGAGGACTAAGATGAAATGCCTCATTTCCAGTAACAAGAGTCTTTTCAGTTCCATACTCATCATACGAAACACAGCAGCAATAAGCTTCTATTCTACGCTGGTATTCTGTAAACGTGGGTCTCCCCCAGTCGAACCAGCCCATCGTGCTACAACCATAATATAGCGGCAGCGTGACTTTACCACATATTAAATATTATAAGGTATGAAACACGTTTATACGTAGTAGAGCCATGCTGCAGTTATATTAGTATTTAGTGTAGTTATAGCATGAATGGGTCAGCTCGACTGGGAAAGGACCACGCTCTCACAGAATACCAGCGTAAAATATTATCTTATACTGCTGTGTTTCGTATGGTGAGTGTAGAGAACCGGAGACCCTTTTTACTGGAAACGAGGCATTCCATCTTAGTCCTCACGGGTGACAACGCATCTGCATTTTGATTCATAATCGAGGATAGATGTAGATGTCTATGGGCCGCAGAAACCACTTACCATCAGGTGGACTGTGTGCTCGTTTGTCACCCTATCCTATTAAAAGATACACGCCAGATCAAGTTGCAAAACAAACTCATTTAATCAAATCTACCTTCCACATATATAACAATTTTACCCTTAACATTATCCATACATAACATAATACCTTTCTATCCCAACAACATGGTTACAATCATAGTTAAGGACTTAAGTTGAAATAAACCATTTTAATTACTGTCTTTCATTATTTGTTTCTAATCACCAATGACCAACAGCTTTTTGCCAAACTTTAATTACAATATTAATCAGTACTTGGTATGCCAATAATTTCCGGCCACATTTCTGGTGGTGGTATTTGTATTGGTGGGTCAGACCCAGAAGACGCATTTGATCTTCTACGTGATTGAGGTATTGGCAGGTCATCGGGGGTCTTTTTTATTACTTTGAGTCGATACCAGGAAGATGCTGTTGACTATCTCTTTTAGTGTTCCACTGTTGCCTGTTACGACATCCACGGGACTATACGAGATAGTGGATATTCCTACACCACTACATGGTACAAAATTGTCGCAGTTATAAATAAAAATGTATATACATATGCATATATTTGTATATATTAAATATGTATAGATGTATATACTAACAATAAATTTTTTATCGTTTTTCAATACATAGTCACGCATTACAGAAATTGAGGGATCTCCGGTAAGATATATACTTGTGTTGAAACTGCCTCGCTGCTTCCCTTAAAGACTTAAGTGGATGCGGGGCGATATTTATAAGACATCCATTTGTGGATTTAGGGGTTTTAAATCGGGTAATTTCATTTACTTTTTGCCAAAGCTTCTTTGGGTTTTTTATCGAGTCAGCTATTTTGTTTCTCTGAAATTGACTTTTTAATTTCTTGGGTTTGAGCAGAAGTTACGAAATCTTTCAAATGTAGCTGTAAGTACTATATTGTAAGGGTTTTTCCTTGATTGTAGTTGTATCCTGTTTCGAAGTTTTATACATCGTAGTGCCCCTAAGGATATCCACGATTTTCTCACTCCTACAACAATAGACCGGCGTAATTTGAGTATTAGAAAGTAGTGCCGTCTTTCTTAATCACATCTATCAGTTCTTAAGCTAGAAATTCTGGGTTATATCTGTACTTATAGTTTATATATTAATAAAATGTATATATTACATAGTTAATTATCATTTTTATTTTGTATTTATTCTATGTTGCTACACCTGCTTCAAATTCCCATCACTCCATTGTAGAGAATGCGAAATAACGTCTTATTATTCCTAGTTAATATAACTACTTCTAACAAGAAACTACAACCTATAAACTTCCTGATCTCCGAAGTATACATTTCTCAGACATGCGGGGTTCCCAATAATGTTCTGCCACCAAGCACGTGATAAATCAGTACTTTAAATTGAAACTAAATACTTCATTAGTATCACCGGTAGAGAACGCCTCAAAGAATTAAGTTTGGCCTTTGTATTCTTTTGTTTTAAGGAATGGAATAAAGAATAAATAAATAAATAAAGAGAGCCGTGGTAGCTCAGATGGTTAACGCTCGCTGTAAATATAACAGAACGCGAGGAACCCGAGTTCGATCCCCACCGGCACCAATGAAATTGTTAATTGCAATTTTAAGTGCTGATTTACCACGTGCACGGCGGTGAAGGAAAACATCGTGAGGAAACCTGCATGTCCGAGGAATAAGAAAAAAAATATTTCGAAGACATGTGAAGTTCGCAAACACGCATTGGGGCAGCGCGGCTGACACTTCCTTGTCCTAAAACCCTCTCAGAAATGAGGGGTGGCCTCTTCCCAGCAGTGGGACGTATATAGGCTGTTTTTACTACTTTTTACTACCTGCTTCTACTACTACTTTACTTTTTTACTTTTAAATAAATAAACCTATAGCGGGCTAGAAAATGTATTTAGGCGAAACTTTATGGTAGTGGTATTTCATAACGTACCTCTTGCTGAGCCTGCATGTTGGCTAGTTTGTCCTCGACGGCGGTGGAGGCGGTTTGCGGTGACGTAATGCTCTGTCCAGGGGTGTACTGCGGTGTCAACGTCTCAACAAAACCGGTCTGTAGTTTAAAAAAAAATCTTGAATTGTGGAATATTTGACTATAAGCTATCAAGATAGCTAATTAAAAGTAACTAGTGGTAGTAATACATTTATGGGACAATGTATACGCTTTTACAACAAAATCCCAAAAAATGTACAAAATTTGTCGCTAAACAAGTTTAAATGTTTTGTTAAACCAAAATTGTACATAAAGGGTTATTATAATATAAAAGAATATATAAATGAAAATAACCCCTGGAAATGAGGTGATCGCCACCATGCTGGTTCTACAAAAATCATTCAAAAAATGTATAAAACAAATTTATTGTAAAGTGAAATATGTTTAAAAAAATGTCCCGCTGGGTTTCCTGCTGCTTTTTCCCAGGACGTATTTCTCTTTATTCCTCCAGGAGGTATTTTTTTCGAACCAGTGGTAAATAAAAAAAGACTTTCAATAAGTATTATACAACAATCTATATTGAATATAATAATTTATTTCAACAAAATCATTCATTTAATTTCATTTCATAGAATATCGATGTAGATAATTGCAAGAATTGAAAAGAAAAACTAAGAGAAAACTTTTTTAATAGATCATCATTATACATATCATCATTACAGTCTATCCAAAGTTCACTGCTGAACGTAGGTCTCGTACGCTTAAGTGGTAGAGACACGTCGCAACTATATTATGGTTGTAGCACGAAAGGGTACCCCGCTTAAACGGGAGAGGCTACGCTCTCACAGAATACCAGCGTAAAATAGTAGCTTAATGCTGCTGTGTTTCGCATGGTGAGTGTAGAGAACCGGAGACCCATTTACTGGATACGAGGCCCAAGTGACAACGCAACTGCATTTTCAGTCTTATTCGAAGATAGAAGTAAATGTTTATGGGCCACAGCATCCACTTACCACCCGATGGGCGGTGTGCTCGCTAGTCACCCATATTCTATTAAAGAAAACGACTGGCTCATTTCTTTTTTGAGTTGATATCAGGAAGATGGTGCCGTCTATTTCCTATTTCACTTCCCTCCATCACCTCTTACAATAACCACGGGATTATAATATCCCACAGACCGAATTTCGGTCTCGGCGACCAGTCTATACAAAGACTAGCCATCTGCGCAGATCAGGACTATAGTGTCCGAGTGTATACGCAAGCAAAGCAGCACTCTCCATTCCCTCACTCTCAAAGTCTGATTCCGTCCCAGTAATCCGACACGACTGGAGAGAGATCAGGCGGAGAACCAACGGCTTTTCGAGGCACGGTGGTGATCACCCGGGATTTTCACCTTTTCTTTATAAGAGAGGGGGCTAACGAGCATACGGCTCACCTGATGGTAAGTGATTACCGCCGCCCATGAGCAACTGCAACACCAGGGGAATTGCAGAGGCGTTGCCGGCCTTTTAAAAGGAGTGGGCTCTTTTCGTGAAGGCCCCTAAGTCGTATCGGTCCAGAAAAATCTCTATTGGTAGTAGATTGCACAAGGAAGTTGTGCAAGAAAGAAAAGCTCTTATAAATTGCACAGTGGCAGACCGATAGTCATCCAGATGGTATGGATGGTATCGCGCGTTTTGTCGCGATGTGCGATGGTAAAATTGTGCGGCTGGAATTAGTCCGAACAATTATTCAGAGAGCACTCTCCTTGGTAAATGAGATAAAACACGCATACATCTCTTCGCAGTGCCAGTGAGTCAAGCCGATCGGAAAGAGCTCGGTCGCCAACGATTCGAAGAGCTCAGCGCTGGATGCGATAAAATGGAAGGAGGATTTGGATCCGGGAATAGAACCCGGGACCTCATGATCAGCAATCGCGTTTTGGACTACTAGACCAACGAGGCTATCAAATATCATGTGAATAGTTGATATTCTTACACCCCCACTACACGTTACTACTGATTTACCACCGTATTTACCACGTTTTTATTAACTCGTCGTGGCAGAGCCACGCTGCAGCTATATTGTGGTTGCAGCACGAATAGATCGACTCGACCGGGGTAGGGTTACGCTCTCACTGAATACCATCGTAAAATAGCAGCTTAATGCTGCTGTGTTTCGTATGGTGAGTGAGAACCGAAGAGCCTTTTTACTGGAAACAAAGCATTCCATCTCAGTACTCAAGGCTGGCAACGCAGATGCATTTTGATTCTTAATTGAAGATAAAAATGTAGATGTCTATGGGCCACAACATCCACTTACCATCAGGTGGACTGTGTGCTCGTTTGTCACCCATATTCTACAAAAAAAATACACTTAAAATTGCCATAATTTTTATAGTTCAATAATATCCATATATAGTATAATGAATTTGGATTTTCTCTTTGTACATCAACAGCATAAGCTTCCACTTCAATTCTTCTTGGTACCCTCAATGTAGAAGCATGAAAAGAATTGGATGCAAAATATGAAGATTTCATTTTTGCTTGATGTTCATGGCTTGTGTAGATTTTTTTTTCATATAATTTATTTTAAAGTTGTTAAGAATTAATTCGCACACATACGCTCAATAAAATCAAATGATGTGTCTTACCTAGTTGGACGAACAGCTCCCCGTCACCACTAATCCCAGCACCACTACTGCCAACACCACTACACCAGGAAAGACACACCATCGACGATAATACGACACGTGTTTCGCCTCTACACGAGGCATCCTCAGGTATACTCTGCGGTGGCTGACCAGCTGGTGACTAGATAGGTGCACGCAATTGAGGGAGGGCAGGAGGTGGTCTTCGAACTAGGTAAGGCACATCATTTTATTTTATTGAGCGGATGTGTGGAATAAGTTCTTAACAACTTTAATATAATGGATTTCCGCAAAGTAACACCTGATTCTATTAATTAGTACCTGGATGACCGAGCTTTGCTCGGTATTATTTTTTTTTTTTTTTGGAAATCGTGTGTTTTGGAAATTATATTTAGATACAAATTACATACTGATTAAATATGAATAATATTCTTGATCTTTCTGACATAATAGAAAAAAACTGAACTAGTTATTTGAATAAAAACTCATGAATGCAATTAGTTTTATTTAAATTTTTGTGTTTTTAAAAAATACTAAAAAAAAGGGCTTGAAATAATAGATATTCTCATAAAAGAAGGGAACTTGAAAAAAAAATGAAAAAAAAACGGTCGGATCGGTGACAGGACTCGCACCAGGGTACTACGATTTCAGGACCGCCCGATATCCCATTTGAGCTATTATAATCATTAACACATTGCCTATCCTAGCTAGATCGACTTATTGCCCCCCGAAACCCCCCTGTACGCTAAATTTTATGAAAATCGTTGGAGCCGTTTCCGAGATTATATATATATATATATATATATATATATATATATATATATATATATATATATATACAAGAATTGCTCGTTCAATAATATGTAGATCTATAATTTATTTTTTCATTCGGGGCCCGAACAAAGTTGTGAGATTGGATCCAAAAATAGATAACGTCGACCAATTTGAAACAAATCTGGTAAATTATTGCCAACCAGTTGTGTGACATATAAGGTATATCCTCCTCACACCTACCAAGACATTTACAGGCTGATGTTAGGAAAGGATTAATAAATAAAAAAACAACAATAAACTAAACTGCACAAACCTCGACAAACGACGCCCTCTTCGTGAGATCTGGTGACGTAGCCCTCTCTGTCGTCGGTGACGTATACGACGTAAGAGACTGGCGGCTACTAGCGAGAGAGGTCCTCGAGCTGACAGAACCAAAGTTTCTTTAGTACTATTTAAAAAAAATTGTATTTTTGAAGTGAAAACTTCTTAAGCGGCGTTGTACACTTTTTTGTAATTGGTAAAAAATGTTAAACTCGCGTCAGGACACGTGACTCCGATCGAAAATGCGTAAGACGGATGGAGAGAAAGAGACAGCCGGCGCGGCGTAGGAGAGGAAGGATCCCCTCTCTTTCTACTGCACGGCGAACATGTATGTCTGCGCCTGCTGTGTTGTTTAGTTGTGTACGATAGCGCAATAAATAAATATTTTATTCTACCACATAAATGATAGTACTTTTAAACTGATAATTAAAGCAATTCGTGAAAAATTATTCCCTAATCATTCCAAAATATCAAAAATGCACAACGTTAATATTCAAGTTTTCACTTCTGTCGGCACTCCCGAAGGCAACCCGTCGTTTTTTCACATATTGGGACTTTAGATTTTGATAAGATTAGTAAAAAGTCAAAATTAAGATGCGTCGTCGTCTCTGAGGACTAAGATGGATTCACATTACTAATATTCCCCTTAACCACTCGTGGTAAGCTTAAATTGCTTGTGTTACGAGTGGTTCACGCCAGTAGTCGAATGGTGGATTCGAACCCACGACCTTTTTGAGTTGGCGGTCCGCGCCCTGTCATTAGGCTACTGTCGCTTTAAAAGTTTACGTTTTTTATTAATAAAAAACGTACACTCGATTTGAGAACCTCCATCTTTTTAAAGTCGGTTATCGGCGAAAAAGAGTCTCCGGTTCTCGTCACTCGAAATGCGAAACAGCTGTATTATGCTGCTATTTCTCGCGAGTGTAATTCTTCACCAGACGAGCCTTCCGTGCTGCAGCCATAATATGCTACAGCGTTCATATTTGTCCATCTTTGTCCTCAAAGATGACAATACATCTATATTTTACTATCGAATTATGTCTCGATGTCGAATTTGAATCGAATTTAAAATCGAATAAAAATACTATTTTTGCGCGTGTAAATCAGAGGCGATAAAATCTTTAAAAGTAGTGTTATTCGATGTGTAGTGTTCGCGTAAATATAAGAAATATTAAACGTATGTGCCGTGGTAGCTCAGATGGTTAGCGCTCGTTGTAAATATAACAGAACGCGAGTAACCCGGCTTCGATTCCCACCGGCAGAAATGAAATTGTTAATTGCAATTTTAAGTGCCGATTTACCACGTGCTCTGCGTTTAAGGAAAACATCGTGAGGAAACCTGCATGTCTGAGAAATAAGAAAAAAAAATCGAAGACCACAATAGAATAAGGGGAGTGCAGACTTCAAAATATGTCGAACTCACCTGCAAGCAATACAGCCCAATAACTCATATAAACATATAAACGAGGATCTTGTGACTGAAAGATGACGGTATATTCATTCGAGAATGTAAAAAACTGCTTTATTTTATTTATGACACGAAATTAGAAATAGATTCTTTTACGTTTCACAACAAATCTCGAAACAAATTTAATAAGACAATGTGGTTTTCCCTAAAACTGGGGAGAATTTCAACGGTTTTGCCGTTACCAAGATTTACATTCTGTTATTATTGTTATTGTAATAAATATATTCTGAAATGGCGTGCAGTATTTACAATGTGAATGGCTTTATTTTACGATGCATTCAATATCAGTCTATATACCACATACACCAAGGTATCAATCAAGTGTGCATATAAATAATAAAAAAATAGTGTTAACGTTGTTATTACATTATTAGGGATCATGCATAGGGACAATTTTAATAAAGAAGCTATTTACAAAGCTATATAGCCCCCTCTTCTAGAAAAAAAATTGCCAAATAAAATAAAATTAAATAATGGTATGCTATATATACACATAATCATAACTTTTACAGGGAGTGATCATGTTACACTTTTTTCACATCCATATATTTACGCATACATGCTCATCGATTAAAGGTGCTCTTAATTTGGCTCATCTTTAATATATCGCCAACTTGGTCAATAAACTTCCAGCCGAAGGCGACCTTTGCCAAGTCTGCCACTCACTTCTACTACATGAATTTACTGTCATTTTTTGTTCGTTCATTCTACGTGCCCAAACCACAGAAGCATTTCTTCCTTAAGCATGGCTACATCTTGGAAATCACACTCTTCTCTTATCACACAATTTTTCACCATATTAATAACTATATTATATGACAATATATGGAGTTGTATACTGTTTTGCCAATCGAATTGAAATATTGATTTATTTTACATCGAATAATTTATTATCTATAGTAAATTTAAATCGATTTTATAATTTAAACATACTATAAATACTTTTATAATTTTTAGGTGGCAGTGCCATGCTGCATTGGTAGTATAGTTGTAGTACGAATGAGTCGGCTCGACCGTGGGCTCTCACAGAATACCAGCGTAAAATAGCAGCTTAACGTTGCTGTGTTTCGTATGGTGAGTGTAGAGAACCGGAGACCCTTTTCACAGGAAACGAGGCATACCGTCTTAGTTCACGAGTGACAACGCATTTCATTTTGATTCGTAATCGAGGATAGATGTAGATGTCTATGAGCCGCAGCAACCACTTACCATCAGGTCGACTGTGTGCTCGTTTGTCATCCTATCCTATAAAAAAATACACAATACCCAATGATGTGTTATGTTAAATAGACTATATGATAAATAGCCTATTTATATATTATGTATGGACATAAATTAATTTCGTGTTCTTACCAAAAACAACTATCTTGTTTCATGGATTACTTTGTTTGTCTCTTAATTTAAAAACAATGTAGATAAGGACCTATTTTGGTTATATATAGATTATAAATATTAGTATTTAAAATCATTTTTACTTCTTATTCTGTTACAATTCTAATATCTGGCCTTAAGAACTAACATTAAGCCCAACGATATTTTTTTCCAGAGTAATATTAATACGCTGCAAGTCTTATTATCGGATAAGCAAAGATTTCTCTTTAATATATCCATTTGCCCAAAATATCGAATATCAATTATTTTAATCATTTTAATGAATCATTATACTTGTGATTTTTATAACGTTAAAACTAAAATACTGTCAGCTCCCTATTCAAAATCCTGAATGAAATGATTCACACAAAAATAGATACTAATTCTTATGGAGTCGCTTCATCGCCGTATTATATCATCATCGCAATATTGAACTATCCAGTGTGTCTAACTAAAAGATAAGTTTTACACTTTTTGACTAAATAAACATTAACGTGAATAATTACAATATGAATGATGGAATAAAAAAATAGTTTTTAAGCTGATGAGCAGATCTTACAACTTAACTATCCAAACCATCTAACTACAAAGCGATAAATTGTCATAGACAAAGTTATGTTATAGTTATAGTCATAGTGTAGTATCAATTTATTAATTTATATATTTTTATATATATATGATATATTATTTTGAAAATATAATTGATGAAATTAATAAACGATTCGGAAATAATTCAAGGCAACAAGCATGTACGAGTATAATAATTTTTGAATAAAAATAAAATTATATACAACTTTAAATTTAAAAAAATTAAAATTAAAATTAAAGTTATTAAAATTTAAATTAAAAATTTAAATTTTTTAACTTTAATTATGTAAAGAAGACTTGCAAGGAATACTATATTCGGCCACACGCCGAATACCAAATATTCTGCGGGCTTCCTGGACGAATAGCCGAATATTAGGTAAAAGTATTCGGTCAGGAAAGAAGTAGTTTTTATTCAGAGCGTCTTTTCTCTGAAACTGAGATTGTCCTCGAGAAGAAAAGGAGTAAATATACTACTGACTCAAAATGCAGAAAAATTAGCCTTTCTGCAATAAAATCTTCCACTTCTAAATTTTAATTACGATAATTCGAGTGCATATACATTTATTTGATAGTTTTTTTTTTGTTAATTTTTATAATACGAAAGTTTATTATGTAACTGAATAAGGATTACAAGAAAAATATACTTTATTATTATGAGATAAATCAATATTTTTATTTTACCAATACTACATTTTACAATTTACAACAAAACATTTTACTTAAGTATTTGGTATACGGCCGAATAGTACCTAGATATACGGTATTCGACCGAATAGAATAAAAGTAGCCGAATAGGCCGAATACCGAATAGTAGCCGAATATTCGTTACAAGTCTAATGTAAAGCAATTCAACAAAAATCTAAATTTGAATAATAAACTACTTTAATTGAAGTAACGCAGTATAAAATAATTTAAAATCATAGTAAAATATAACTGAGTGGTACATACATTTTATGCATTTAATAAACTTGTGCTTACCCTAACACAGTGCTTAACTATCCAAGCAATCTACATAAAGTAATGTGCTTTATTACTGTGTTACAATAGTCATTACCTCGACATTGACAAGGTTCCTGCTTTCGTCTGCGCCGGGGACGCCTTCCGCCTGACGCTTCGTAGGGAATTCACCAACATATGTTAGTAGTTACACATTTATTTCGATCATGGTATAATGTTGGAGCATGAAACATGGGTTTTACACGTATTACTTAATACACTTAGATTATTTACAAATATCATTACAAAATATTAGTTGCTCAATTAAGTAAAGAAAAATTGACTCATTATAAATGGATACCTATATACTATCCAAATTGTGTACATGTACTATACAGTATTTTTTGTTTAATATATCACACATATATTGCAACAACGGCAACATCTCTCGAATATTATCGAGAGATATATTACAATGCTACAAAATAATAACATGACTTAATTTCTCCCTATCCGTTCCACTATTGGAATGCCAGACTCCCGGTAGGTCTTTTACCCCTTTATTGTCGGTATACCACTTACTTAGCAAAAATGGTTTGTTTCCTAGGTCGTAACGCGTACATCGAAAGAGTGAAATAATTTGCTAGCGTTTCTACGACTAGAATACGCTTTAGTTAAGTTACGCCGTCTTTATATCTGCGGTTACATCACCACTTTCAATTTAATGCGGGATATTAGTCAAGGATAAACATTAGCTTATATAGGTAAAAAATATGTACACACAGAAGTCGAACGTACCCGTATCGGATGTAAAGTATATGTGATAAAGTAGAAAGTGGCCTGAAATGCCCTGTCAGAGAACTTAAGCCCACTATTCATTTAATATAAGCGAAAAAAATGGCCATAAAATTGTCAAACTATGTTTTTATATCTTGTACAGAAGTAAATTTTTCTTTACTGTGATAAATTGATATAGACACAATTCTTATTTTATATTTAATAAGAATGTAAACAAAGATATAACATCCAAATTTAAAATAGTTTAGGACTTTAGGGTAACCCACTAGGAAAAGCGATGCTTTATTAAAATTAACTTTTGATCACCAAATATTCTAACGAAATCTACACTTATTTTGGCATTTATCTCAATAATACTTGAAGAGAAATGTGTAGTCACACAGTAAAATATTTTAAAAAGAAATAGCGAAAGCCAGTACTCTTGGTCACTATTTTGAAAGCTATGTTGAATAAAATGAATCACACAAAAAATGTTATTTGCCAAATGAAATTAGCTGTTTTAGAAATAGCTTCGCTTTTAATAGTGGTGCCCATACAAGCTAGTCTAAACGCTAAAGTAGTAGAGTCTATAGCTGAATAATTGTCAAGAACCACAGATATAAGATTTTTTTTAATCATAATAAAAAATACGCACATACCAGCAATTTAAATTAGCATTATTAACATTTAAGCCATAAACCTTTATTTATAATAAAAATGAGTTTTTTTTTTAATTATAATTAAGACAGAACAGAGACAACACAAATCATTGGAAATGAAAGAGCGTTGTAACAGATTTCACGGTATCAATTTGAGAGACAAAAATATGAGAAAAAACTGACTAAAATAAATATAAAATATATGATATAAATCACCTTATTTTGGCAAAACCGGCAAGTTATACGCGACATAAGACGTAATTTGTAAGCCATTGTAAGGATATATACGTCATATGATGTAGGAAAGGCAAGAATTTTTTTAATTACTTTAGCTAAAAATACTGGTACTGAAGTTTGTTAGAGCTCCAAGCAATCTAAAAGAATGCTAATTGACTACCCAGCGGTTGTCAGCCTCAGAGCTAAGTACCATTTTAATCAGTTTAATCTAGTATAATACCATGCTACAGCTAACTCTCGCAGAACACCAGCGTAGCAGCCTAATGCCGTTGTTTGGTATGGTGAGAATAGAGAACCTTTTTACTGGCAATGAGGCATTCTATCATAGTCCTAAGGCTATAAACTGTCCCACGATACAGGAGAAATTGCCATTGGGTTTGTAACATTTATAAAAGAATCGCATTATATCTTATTTCAAAAAAAAATCTGGTCTTGAAGTACATTTAAAATTATGAGGTACATTATTTTTGTCTCTCGCATTGATAAGTATAACAAGAGCTTAAAAGCTGTTGGTTGGTGTGAACAAGCTAAAGCGAGTGCCGATCTACATGGTGGTTCTAGTACTCACGTGGTTGGTCTAGACCTCTGGGCCACTGTTATACTAGCCAGAAAGAAACACACTCTATCAGAAAATTAATCTAAGTAATAACAATTAATGTAATTTGACAGAATCGAAAAAGACAAAAATAGGAAAAGATAAAGAATAAATAATAATATTTAATTTATAATTAGAACATAATGTAGAACAGATTGTTGAGTAATTAAAAATATATAACAAGTTTGGTATTTTTATTATTAATACTGGTAACATAAAGATACAATTTTATTGATTAAAACTACTGGTTTTATCGCGTTTAATTTTAAATGTTTTTAATTCCGTACGTTTCGGGTGCTTTCCAGCACCCATGGTCACGGGGGACTGAGAGTCAGGAATTAAATTTTTTTAATTACAATTTTACTATCATAGTTTTGTCTTTTTCTATTCTCTATATTTAATAAGAGTAAAATCATAATGACTGTAAGCAAATAAAGTACGAAAAATATATCAAACAACTTTATAATGCATAATCATTAATCATACAATAACAAAATATTAAACATTGAGAATTTATTAAACTATCTCACAACCGCCACAGCATTAAAAATTATATGTTATAAGTACAAAGAAATTGTAGCTTAGTTTTCTATCACATAAAATTATGAAACTAAAATAACTTTATTGCTATTGCCTACATAGCTGTTTTTAGCTATGTTAAATTAAAAGGTAACTTATATTATGTTGAACTACCAAATTAGTAGAGAATTACTATAAAATTGTGGTAACATTAACTTCTACACAGTAATAAGAATATTTAAAAATTTATGTCTACTCTATACTTATATCTTGGCAATTTAAAGAGCTCAGCTAACAGCACTGGATGATTAAGTTTCTTGACATTTCTATTAAAAGAATTTACGATCTGGCATCACTAAAGTTAGTAGTACAGAAATATAGAACATTACTTGCGTCCTGTCCTGTACTTAATGTGTATATATACCGTTTGATCCTCATATTTGATCTCTCAGGGCTTGGCGATACCATTTGTGGGCGTGAACTTTAACACACAATGGTTTTATATGATGTCATATCTATACACTACTTTAACTTAGGTTTAATTATGCGGTTAATTTTAAAGTTATTTGAATTTCATTAAAATATCAATATTGTTAAATTGCTTCATGACTAATTAGTTCAAACATTTGCAATGTTATTATACTTTCTTCCATAGAAATATGTTAGAGCTATTTAATTAAATAAAAATGTACAATTTCTATCTAACTCTATATTAATGAAATATAATATAAGAATATTCATAAAATTCAGAAACACTGAAAAGACTTTTAAAAAACAACATGATGTGTTTAAGACTAATCTACCAACCTAAAATCAATTCATAAAATAGACCCTTTATAAGAAGTCATGCATTGTGTTCATAACTGCGATTGAAATACCTCACACATTGGATTAAAGCAATATCATAAATAATAAAATATTATAATACATACATTTTTAATATATAAATAACCCAAAGTAATGTAAGAGATTGCACTCCTGATATTAAAAAAGGAACTGGTCCTTAAAAAATGATATTCCGTTTTATATTTAAGAACCAAAATTAAATTAAAAAAATTATGAAGGAATGAAATTATTCAAACCCGTGACAAAGTGTGTCTATGAAAATGTTAATAAAATAATGATTCTCAATAATACATTATTATTCTTCTCATTTTAAGCTCCATCATTTAACCAATTTCTGTCAACTACCAACATCAAGGTTGAACATACAATCAATTTGTTAGGTTTAGATTTAAAATTCAAATGACTTTAATGACTTTCCTTCTCAATCCGATTTTTAATCAAAAAGCATACATTCAATAATTATTAGATGAGTAGCAAATATTAATATTAAAATCTTTTCAAATCAGTACCAAATCTTTTTCAAAACCGTTATATCCCATCAAACAATTGGACCGCATACTTTACAAGTCAAAAGCACATACCTGCTCAGGCGCCTGTTGCTTGATGACTTAATTGATGGCTCTTCAAATGAAGTGGTCATTGAGGTGTCCATGGGATTATCTTGTGCGTCCAAGAGCTGAATTTGGGTTTGACGTACGAAAACACCATAGTTCTCTTCACACTGAAATTATTATGCATAATAATAAATAATATCCCCCAGACCGAATTTTAAGCACAGTGGCCAGTCTCAAGTAAGACAAGCCATCCTGGCAAAAGAGGATTATAGTACTCCAGTTTAGGGTGTGCGTAAACACATGTGCACATTTTATATTCCAATGGAAAGGCAATCCGACACAACCAGAGAGAGATGTGGTGTAGGACCAACTTTACATGCTGGCAAAGGAGTGAAATACCACAACTTCAAAAAAACTTCCTACTTCTTGAAGTTGACAAAGAATTACACAGGATAATACTTTACCAACTCTTATAAGTATTTTCTTATAAGAGTTAGTTATACTTATATTTTCTTATAAGACTTAGTAATAGTAGACAAACTGGGGAGGCCCTGCCTGAAATAAACAATCGCCTAACCAAGGTTCTAATGAGACTGAACAAGCCACAGATCAGGATAGTAACAAGTGCTATCACAGGACATGGCTCCTTTAACAAACATTTATTTACCATAGGTGTTACAGATGGTCCCCTGTGCAGGGCATTTATGGAGGAGGAAGAAATGGCAGCCCACATGTTGCTGAAATGTCTGGAGGTTGCATATGCGGGATCGCTCCTCGAAGTTGCTTGCAACACCAAAGGACTGTTGTACTTCTTCGAGGAAATTTCATGGTTCCAATAATCACATTATTCATGCCCACATGCAAAATACGCGCTTGGACATGGTGTTGCGGAAAATTGCCCATTGTAAACTAAACAAAGTATCTTCTATTTCATTGTCAGTGTTTTGGGTATTTTACATCTGGTCCATATGAGATAGTTAGTTATACCATCACCGTAAAATATTTTTGTCACCCACAGTTTTACACTGTCATTAGTCTCACAGTCGGCTCTTATGACTTACGACAAAAGTATTGATGGATTCTCTTATGCAGACAGTGCAATGCAATCTCATGAGTATATTCTAATTAAAACCAATTGAAAAATTGGGTTTATCAAATAAATTCTTCAAAATAATTAAATGTTTAATAATTATTTAGATATAAATTATTCAACCACTTCAGTCCCATGAGTCATATATAAACATTTCTATTCTTTAACTATTGTGTCTCTTTTATGGACAGGGAAGTCATTAATAGAATGCTACTTTAGGCACTTGCAGGAGAACTTACGCAAATAATGAAAAAATCTTACGCAAGAATTTAAATCTCTCTAAAGTAAAAATACTCACAATAAGTCATCTTTCAAGTCTATCAAAACTCCAGCTAAACATAGGCCTCCCCCATAGATAGCTTGCGCCCTCCTTTCTGCCAAGGAGGATCGCGTCCGTATATGGCTTAGAGATCTCTCGTCAGATCGGTAAGCCAATCCATAAAGGCGGTGTTTAGTGGGTAAAAGTCTCCACATAACCACGCACCTGGCTGCGTGGTATGCTATGAGCATTTACCGCCTCCCTCCCCCACTTTCCGGAGGGTTGCCTCATAGGGTAGCCTCATAGGGTAGCCTCATAGGATAGAATCTGTCATAGTTGCCACACTTAGTAAACAGGTTGGTAAGCTGCAGTTTTGTTTAATATTTTGACTTATTATCAGGGAGATAGTGGTACTCATCTTATTTATATTCTGTTATGCCTCTTCTACACAGCAGCTTCAAGAAATCCATAATTCAAGAGAATCTCTAATTAAGTAGGTATGTATATTCTGATTTAAAATGAATATGCAGAGTTTTAAAACTAAGTTCTTAGAAATAGTTTAAAGTCCAAAGTATAGATTTATTCAAAAACATACATTAATTCAACATAAAATTGCCATTTCTATATTTTAGTGCTAATCCAGTAACTATTCTTTGTCACACAATGCAAATCTATAATTCACAAGTGAATGGTAGTCAGCAAGGGACGTTCTATATCGACCAAATTGGCGTATATTGAAAATGGGTTAAATTAAGAGCAACCTTAACCGACGACCATGCATGCTCAGGTATATGGATGTGAAGGAGGCGAGAAAGGTGTGTCAGGACCATGCCAAATGGAAGTCCGTAGTCTCTGCCTACCCCTCCGGATGACAGGGGTGGGTGTATATGTTTTAATGTTTATTCAGTAACTAGTAATTATTATTTTAAATTTAACTGAAAATTATGAACTTACACGAAAATAAGAATGCCCACGGACGGTACCATTATTCTTTCCCTTAGGCTCATCCAATATTATCCCGATCCATTTTCCAGAAGCAAAAGTAGGATACCCAACGTATGCTACCGAACCTTTCACATCCTTTCCTACAACTATCACTCGCTGACCAAGGGTTAAAACCTTATCAGCCATTGTTTCCGAACAAATACGTACAATATCTGTAAATTAAATTATGATATACCAATACGACTCACTGTTATAATAACACTAAAGAAATTTATATTCATGCACCTTAAAATTGTAAACTATTGTAGGTATTCAGAAAAATTATATCGAATAATTAATAAAAAATAAAGGCACGGTAACTATTTCATTCTAAATTGTGTAACAAGACTTCTACTGGCTTGCAATTGCAAGAATTATTGAGTTTTGCAAAGAAATACGAAATTTTTGCCAAGAAATACTCAAATCCTGACAGTTGTCAACAAACGTCAAAATAATGATTTCATTCCTCAGAGTAATTACTAGCATAGAGAGAGTCTTTTTATTTACTAATTTCAATCAACAAGGATCATAGGGTAAAATTACATTCTTCAAATCTATTCTTATTCTAAAATTATAAATCATTACTAATATTAATTATATTAAATGTGTAAGTATTTCTAATAATACCTAAAATAAAATAGTAACTAAATAATAATAAAATATCATAAATCATTCTCGTCGTTACATACACCATAATCGATTTAATTATATATTAACAAAAGTTAAAGTAAAGTTAAAGCTTATATACGTCCCACAGCTGGGCACAAGACTCCTCTCATTTCTGAGAAGCTTTTAGGGCAAGGAAGTGTCCGCCGCGCTGTCCCATGCGTATTGGCGAACTTCACACGTCTTCGAAATATTTTATTTTTATTTATCAGACATGCAGGTTTCCTCACGTGGTAAATGGTAATGGTAAATCAGCACTTAAAATTACAATTAACAATTTCACTGGTGTTTGCTCGCGTACTGTGAAATTTACAGCGAACGCTAACCATCTAAGCTACTACGGCTCTATTAACAAAACCACCAACAAAACTTACCATAATGATATACTTAATATTATTAATTTTTTTTAAGTACAAAGAAAAGTTCTTAAATATATGTAAGTAAAATTTGGTAATAAATTAAATAACATTAGTTCATATACCTGGGGTGCCTGTCCGAGGCTATGGGTACATGGACATGAACCTAGTGCCTCAAAAAAGTATACTCGAGTTTCTCACTAATTACGTTAAGAATGCTGTTGGCGCTCCCACGAACCCTGTGCATCAATGATGCAGTTCTTTTGCGAATAAGTGTTGAAAAATTGTCTACGTGGGCGTCAACAAACATACCTGATGCACTACAGTAACGTGGGAGCCCCAGCAACAATCAAAAAGTGTTATTATATTGTGTACGTAGGATGTTGTATACCCGCCGCGTATATCTGATCCATAAGGCGCACGTATAGGATTGGCAATAGGCCTTAAATAAAATAACTTTTACCTCGTCTGATCAGCGTGAGAACCGACGGGCCAGCATATTGCAGCGGGCAGCCAGCGCCCTCCTTTCTTTTTCAATGTCTTTATCATCTTTTAAATCTTCGGTATTAACATGGCCGATGTACTTAAATTCAGTTACTCGTTTAAGTGCAACATCCCCTAAAGTTACAGGTGGTACGAAATTAGGTTTCTTCGTGCCCATCTTAAGCACCATGAGATCACTCTTCGCAAGATATTATTTTAGACCGTGGGCTTCTGCATAAACTTCACATATGAAGAAAAGCTGTCTGAGTGCACTGACTGACGGGCTCAGAAGCACCATGTCGTCTGCGTAACTGATGTTGTTCATGCAGAGTCCATTAATAGAGCAGCCGACACGTGCACTCCCGAGTCTATGAATCAGTTCAAAAAGCTTGGCGTGCTCAGCAGAGCGTGACAGTATTTCAGATTTCGGATTTTCGATATATCAGTAGTTGCGTTGTACCAGTTCTGGCTCACTGAGTCAGAAGTGGTACAACGCTCGACTCACGATCCTGAAAAAAAAAACGTTTTGGCATGCTCTGATCACGAATCTGCGGTCCGTTTTTGCGTAGGATGCACAGTTCCGGAGATGTACAGATCAATTAACTTATATCTAATTGATATCCGGTAAGGGCCTCCACCGTCATTAGCGTCCCATTGTTCTTATCTATTGTCATTGTCTATACTTCCTCGGCGTCTGCATCGGCTTATCAGTGCTATTGTATTATACTTCTTTGTTCCTATATACAACGCTTATCTGAATCATCAATAAAATACATTACCTAATTTTATTACAATTTTTATTTACAAAATACAAAATCTTATTACTTATTATCTATAAAATAGGAGCGAAGCATCTCATCCACTAAAATATCTTTGTACAATGTGTTCCCTGTAAATATACTCATAAAACTATGCATTGAACATCCCTGAAACTCATATAGCAAATACATTAAGCAATATTAGCCACAAACTGAAGTCCACTCATTTTGAATCCTATCAACATTCCAGTTCCATCTTTTACAATTCCTATTTAAAAACTCTAGGTGATATTGTTCAGTTGATCGTCCATATGAATCAAAATATTGACCGATATCATTCGTATCGATATATCATCTGTATCCAAATTGCATATTATATACGTTGGTACATGGGTATAAATGGGCAGTCTATTAGCAGCATAAACATTATTTTCTAGACTGGTGTGAATCTTTTTCAGATGTTGTTGTACATCTAGTGTATCCATGATATTACTGGTATTAGTAGATTATTACAGTACCAATCTACTCAATGACTAACATAGGAATGATCAATTATAGTGATTTCTAAATATTAAATTGCATTCTTTTGTGTTATACAAATCGTATTTTAGTCATCGATACATCGAACGAGACGCAACACGAAGGAATGTTGAGATAAGCAATACAATGTGAGATAAGCTTGTTGACGCATAAAGTTACTATCATTTCCACTGCAGAAATTCTTTAGATTAGATTCATTACATACTGGTGCTATACAAAACCAGGGCGCTGCAGTCATGGAGTTAGTGTATGGTCGTTTGACCGCAGTGGATCTATCAATACTACATTTGTGTTACTTCAACGCATCAAAGGCCACAGATGTAAGTGTTTATTCTATTGACAAACTTACTTTTCCTTCTGTTATTTTCTTACGTGTGTATGATTTAGTGTTAACAAATTATATTTAAATATTGTGTGTGTATATGATTAAACCGCGGTAGCTCAGATGGTTAGCGCAAGCTGTAAATTTCACAGTACGCGACCCGGGTTCGATCCCCACCGGCACCAATTAAATTGTTAATTGCAATTTTAAGTGCTGATTTACCACGTGCTCGGCGGTGAAGAAAAACATCGTGAGGAAACCTGCATGTCTGAGAAAATTTCGAAGGCATGTGAAGTTCGCCAACACGCATTGAGGCAGCGCGGCGGACATTTCCTAGCCCTGAATACAAAGACAATAGCAGAAAGTGAAAAAGTTAAAAAATACTTTTTTAACAATGACCGTCATTAGTTGATCATTAGTGAATGTGATTCTGTTTACTTAAATTACAGGAAGACAAGAACAAAAGGAAGAGATGGGATGATGGGAAGTAATGAAGCATTGTTATGTGAAGTTTGCTCTGTGTGTAATAATCATATATTTGCAAAAAATAATCACAAAATTTTACATTGTTATTGTGACGAAGTGTGGGTTTTTACAAGTGGTTATTGCTTGAAAATAAAATTTTAAATTAATCATAAATTTTGTTTGATTTCCCTAAAATATTAGTTATAGTACACAATATATATTAATTGTTTACACCAACACTTTCATTTTTTATTTCACCCCTTAGAACTTTAGACGTGTGTAATGTTTCACTTTATACATCCGTTTACTGCTATTGTGGCAGGACCAAGTGGATGTGGGAAGTCAAATTTTGTAACAAATTTCATAAAATCAGTTACAGAAATATGTAATTGTGATTTTAATCAGATCACATGGTGCTTTGATGAAATGCAACCTTTATATAATTTACCAAATGTTAACTATCATCAAGGAATTCCAAATCTTAATATGTTTGATGGTGAAAACCCACATCTCGTTATTATTGATGATCTAATGAGAGAGTCCGATGGAAGAATTGGGGATATATTTACAAAAGGTAGTCATCACAGGAATCTTAGTGTATTTTATTTAACACAAAATTTATATCATCAGGGTAAAGGGCAAAGAGACATATCTTTAAACTCAAGTTATATAACATATTTTAAAAACCCTCGAGATAAAACTCAAATAAGATATTTAGCACGACAGGTGTCACCAAATAACCCAAAATTCATCCATGAAAATGCCTACAACGATGCAACTCTAGAGGCACATGGATATTTAATGGTAGGTAAATTTAAAACAGAATACCAATGATTTTTGTCGTATCAAGTCTTCCTATTTAACGGTTCTGTACAGTCTACGTCCCCACAAAAGAGTTTAAATACACCAAGAATCAAACAATTAAAATCATTGCTAAATGCATCGTCGACTCACAACGCATAAACATTTGCTAAACGCTTTGCATACGCTTAAACCAAAATATCAAAGAGCATAACTTAAAACGTGTGATGAAGAAGAAATTAACTGTATTTGTGAGAGTATTCATAACGTTTTACAAGGAAAAGTACTTCTTAAAGATCAAGATAAACAAAAATTGAATAAACACAAAAATATACTCCTGTGGCCGCGGAAGGAACAGGGGAGATCTCCCGCCGGGCAAGGTGTTCTGCCCTGGGAGCGGCCAATGCTCCGTGTGATAGTTCGGAGATGTTCTATATATGCTGTTTATGATTCGGAATGTTGATACGTTAGTACTCTTATTAGTTTGTGGTTGATAGCGTGATTTAAGCTTCGGTATGTTTCGCTTGCGGCGCGACGACAGCGCTGCCACATCACCCCGCTGCTCAGACCAGAGGTCGATAGTGCAGTCCGATTGCCGGTGCGTCCTTAATACCGATGTGTAATGCATGCCGTACTACGCACTGGCAAGTGATGCCGGTGAGAACGATGTGCCGGAGCAAGTGCCAGAAGTCTGCCTTATAAATCTGCGGTGAGTCGAGACGAAGACAAGTTGGACTGGCTTGCAGGAACTGAAGA